GTTTATGCTGCATATGTACACTCAATAAATATTTTTCTTTTATTTTTTAGTTTCATTGTTCTTTCTTGATCATTACTAAGTTGAATTTATTGAGTCTGAAAATATTTTTTTTGTCATGTTTTTTAAAGGAATTTTTTTTATTTTTATTGGAATTTTTCGAGATTTTTCCTTCGGAATGTTATAATTTGTAACAGTTTCACCAAGTTTTGTGCAACATTTTAACATTCTAGTTTTATAAAGAATTTTATATCAGAATTATAATAAATTATAAATTGAAGCATCTGAAAAACTTTGAAATGTTAATAAAAATTGTAGGATGAGATTCAAAAAAGGCTATGAAATAGAAACAAACTAAGATCACCATTAAAATTCTTTAATCAAAAAATATAAAATTAAATTCAAAAACATAAAATCCCAAAATTTATTTCATTCTAATCATCTCAAAACCAAAAAGCCATACTTAATTTTTAGATAATAAATCAAAAGCATTCATAAAGCTAAAAGATTAATAATTAAAATCAAAAATTAAATTCTCTGGAAAAGGATTTCATACAAAAGAGTTGACAACATATTGTGACAAAAATAGAATGCTCGATGAGCACAATATTGTATGACAAATTATGTTGTAATATCAAAATCACCTACATAAATATTCAAGTTGGCAATTTAGAACTTTTCGTACCTTTTTGATGATGTCAAAACAATTTTGAGTCGTAATATATTCGAAATGTTTTTTGTTGTTGTCAATTTGAACTTGAACTGTGAATGGAAATCAATTTGGTCACTGGATTATTTGTATGCATTAATATATTTATGATACAGCCAAAATAGAGTTTGAAATGTAGTTTATGGAATTATTTATTATTTTCGAAACTTACATACTTACTGTAACAATGTAACTATGTGGAGCTTAGGTTACAACAAAAGCCTTTCCATCTGACTATGTTGCTGACTTTGTTGCCTAATTTGTACATTTATCCATCACTGTTCTTCGCTATGTAGCTTTTGGACATCTTTCTCCAAGCGGATTCCAACCAAGGGCACATATTTGTGATATTCTACCAGGTTTAAGAGAAGACGAGTCTATTCTCAGTGATACAACCAGCTTCTAATCGAATTTATGGATCAAAATTGAAGTTTGTAGATTGCAAATTAAATGAAACTTTAATGGATCTTCTTACCTTCACAACTGCCTTTAAATGATTTTCATAGAATTTAAATCAATCTTATTAAGCAGAAAAAACAGGAATTTCAAACTTCAATAATATTTATGAGAATCAACAACTGGCTATTTTCATTATCTACAATATTAAAAGCCACTATGCTCTTATTTATCACAAACAGATTCCATTTGAATCTAGTCAACAACAATTTAACAAAGAGAAAATAAATTTCAAAAGCTTCTTTTGAGTTTTTATTAAAACTCTCTTCCTTTTAGATATTTACCCCATCAATGATGGGATATGAATGTAGTTGTTTCGTAACAACTTCGTAAATAATGCGGTTTCAATAAATAAAATAACTTTGTTTAAATTAAAAATATTTTATAAAAGTTTAACATTGGATATTCGATGTCTTTATCGTTCGTAACAGAAGTCTATAATAAGGGGTCTGAAACTATGCGCCACACAATATTTATTCATGATTGACATGTCCAAGTAGATACTAGACGCTAATGTCAAGGAAATAACTAGACATACGGTCGAATAATGATAAATTTCAGGGAATGTTTTGAAAAAAAAAATGTCATTAGTCGACCGTAGTTTTTGGTATTTACTAGACATTAGCTAAAATCTAATCTAATTAAGCAATCGCAAAAAGCTTAACCATAAGCTTAACAATAGCAGAATTCATTAATAGAGATAAATCAATAGAAAGAGCGTAGCTTGGGGTAGGGGGGGGGGGGGGACAAATCACCCTTCCTCGTCAAAAATTTCTTTTTTTTGCAAGGGTTCTTATAAAAAATTCGTCAAAAAAAATTTTTTTGCGTGCCCACTCCTCTTCAAATTCCTGGCTACGCCCCTGGTACCACCCAATGATCCTATATAAATTTTCACAAAAGCTTTTATTGGCAATGACCTTGAAAACTTTTATTCTACTTACCATTTATTTACTCATTAGAATCATTCTCTCAATCATCCTATAAACAAGTTTCAGGAAAGGTTCATGTTAAATTTAAGCTTTAATAAAAATTTATGTGATTTAACTTTTTGTAGATTCATCGTTGAAATAACAGCTTGATTGACATTAAAATCGAATTCTTTTTGTTCTAGAATTGAATTTTAATAGGATTTGAAATGTCAATTTTTCTGACTTTGAGCTTCTTGATAGGTTGCGCAAGATGAAGAATATTTGGAAAATAAGAAATTAAGATTGCTTCTAAGAAGGATGAAAATTTCACGGAAAGAAACAATTTTGACCTTTTTAGCTTTTTATCACAAAAAAGCTTTTGAGGTTGACTCTTCTGGATAAATTTGGCTCAGAAAAAGTATCTATGACTGTAATTTATTAATAAAGTACAATTATTATGATGAATGTATTTTTATTTAAATTTTTGGGACAATTTATCTGCACAATTTAATTCGAGTAACTTTCAGTGGCTAGTCAGTAACAAGAAGGGCCTTGACTATGGAAAAACCAGAAAAAAACATTTAATAAAACAAAATTCCATCATTTATCACGTTTATTGTTAAGCAACCGCATTGTTCCGATTATCTTCTGCCTTTCTCGTCATCATCATCATCATCATTACCTGCACTAATATCGTAAAATTAAGAATGAAAGCCTCATTCAGCAACATTTCTTGTTTAAAAACATAAACGATGAGCAGGTTGCTGTTAATGGTGATGATCTTAATTTTCTAAAGCTTCCTCGATGAAGTATTCAGGAAAGTTTTTGCATTTTAAGTAGTAAGTTGCAATGACTGGACTTACAATTTAATGACAAGTGGAAGAAAAATCTCTGAAAATAAATTTTTTTGATGAGTTTAATCATCCAATCGTTGGCGTTTCTTCATTCCATTTGTTCCTTATCAACATACAAGTTTAAACTACTCATTATCTTACTATGGATTCAATTTAATTCCTCAAAATTTCTAATTAAATTTTCATTATTCCTCAATAGTCACTCTTGACTCAATTTTCATCTTTCAAATTGAATTTCTCATAAATTGAAAATTAATTAAAGGAATTCTCAACAAAGTCTTATTAATGCTCTTATAATTCGATAACTTACAACTGCTTTATCTATCAATATTCCAGGTACACAATAAAGATAAGCTCATGATAATATGTCTTCAATGTCTCTTAAAATATTCCTCAATCACAAAATATTCCAATAAATTCTCTGTTCTTCTGCAGATCCACCTAAGAGCATTAAAAATTGGAAGAAATTTATCAATATTGATGCTGCAAATTGATTGAGTGTGATGGATCGCGATGATTTTTATAAAATTAGCTGAAAATTGTCACTTGGTGTGGGAATCGTACGCAAATAACGTTTCCATGACTATGATTTATTATCCACACTTTTTAAGGTTCTATGAAACATTTTGGAAAATGGAACGAATTTTAAAATTTTTGATATTTGATTGACGTCATTTTCAAAGCCTTTGTCTTTTATTTTGTTAAAAACGAAGTTGATTGGTATTGATTTTGACTAGAAATTCAATTTCGTGCTCGAATATTATTGAGTTGTAGCTTTATTGACGCTGATAAGGAAGTTGATATTAAATAACAAGCAGATTGATTAGCCAATTAGGAAACATGACATATTATTACTAATTATTTGACTAGGCGTGTTCGAAACCTTTTCCTAGCAACAGCCACTTAGTAAATAAAACAATAATTAATTATCCATTTTAATAATATGATTTATTCAAGAATTTATTTGTGTATTGATAACATCTGGTAACTTTAATTACTTCATATCTAATTTTGAGGTTCAAGGTAGCTCGTGCTGAGCTGCTTATACAAAATTTCTTTTCTCACGTGTAAAAATTGACATTTGATATTCACAAAATATATTCCAGTTATAAGTACTTACAAAATATTGTTTTTGCAGAAGGTTTCAGTTTTAAGAACAGAAACTTGGAACTTTATGATTTTGATAATGGAAATTAAAGGAAATAAAATAACAGTTTTGTAGAGGTTTTGTGAAGTTTTGTGGAATTTTATTGAATTAATGAACGTTGTTGAATCTCCAAAAATTTAAGAACTAGCGAGACGTGTAGCTAGTTGGGGGGAGGGGGAGGATTTGGGGATAAAATTTCCCTTCGTCTACACAAATTTCTTTATTTTCCTACAGACCCCCCTTCAAACCCAAATTGTTGATCCCAAAAATTTTATTTCTCCACCTTCTTCAATTTCTAAGCTACTCTTTAGATGCTGGGTCAAAAAATTCTTACCTAGCCTTCTGACGAGTTCAATCAGTTGCCTAGAATCATTGTAAGGGACTTAAAAAATCATTAAAAAAAAAAAAAAAAAAAAACCTTTACCTATTCAGATCAATTGTGATCCAGAGGTGCGCTAGGGCGATTCGCAGCTAATGAGAGTTTAACGAGTGAGGATGCGCCAAACCACTGCACTCAAACCTAGACCTACAATTTATAGTGGGATCCGAACCACTCCTTTGATGACATTTCTGTCTGTAGCCTACAAAGGAAGGCTGTGAGCCTCATTTCCAGTACATATGATTCGAAAAAGAACAAGTGAAAAATTTCCCATACCCAGTCTCGAACCCATGATCGCTGTGTCGGTGTTGCAATAATTAGGTACCGAAGTACTAAACCATTCCGCCACCGAGCCACTTCAGCTCAAAAAAATCATTAGCTACTCCTGAAATCCTAGAAACTCCACAAAATCACAACAATTTTAAAATCAAATCAAACTTAATAATTGATAAACTTTTCATTATCTCAACAAATCAAGCTATTCATCACCTTCCAAAAATTCATTTCCATTTTAACAAAATTATTGCCATCTTACAAGTTCAAACTTATTAAATCTTTTGATACAAAAATAAATTTCATAATTCTTTTCATCAACTTTTCAATTACAAAAAGTTGAATTTCATTCTTACAACTACTGCTTATCTGGCAGATTAATGCGTTTTGGTCATTCTGTTGTGTTTATATACAAAAATTGTTTTCGTCCTACTTTATCATTTTATTTCCTCTTTCTTTTATTTTCTCTTAAAAGTAAATTCATTGAGTAATTTCCTTGATAAATCACTGCGTGAAACGACTGCTCCAGTTTCTCATATTTTTTTTTGTTGCTCGTTTATTTTCACATCGTAGCTAAACTCATCACACGCCACATTGTGACAAAAATAATATTTCATTTCTCATTTAGTTGATTGCAATGTCTTATAAAGCTCATTTTTATGTGACTGTAAATTGGATGTTGTATACACTTTGACTAGATGGGTGGATTTTAGCGTTGGATTATAGAAATTAATTTATCATAAAGTTTAATTTCGGATTTGTGATGGCATTCTACTAGATTTAATTGAAATGTTGATTTATTGTCGGTCTTTAATGGAGAGAAAATTAAATCTTTTGGTCCATAAGGTTGGAATTTCGAGGAAAAACTATTAAAATGTACTGACCGAAATAGCATAACTTGGTTAATCGAATAGAAACTCAACTCTAAGTTAGCATGACCCTAGCATGATGCTGGCTTCAATTTATATCCAGTACTATGCCAGAGTCACACCGGATTGGTGCCTGATTGTGCCATTCGGGTGAAACGAAGTCAATTCTTTGAATATGGTGGTTTCAAATTAAGGACTATGCAAGAACTTCCCGAATAGCACAAGTCGGATAATCAAGACAAAATTCTATGCCCGGACGATGTGACAAGAAATTCTCCCTTACCTAAGTTGTCTTAGCGTAGGATTTCGCCTCAATTATCCGGCTAGTGCTATTCGTGCATTTTAAAATTAATTTCTTAAAAGACTTTAGCAAATCAAAAATGAAAAGAATTTTGACCCTCAAAACCCTTCTTTGGCTGCGCCCTTGTAGCTAAGGGTGTTGCTAGTCAGATTCTAGTTGCTACTAAAGAAGCTTGTCAGGGTAAAGCAATATGTTGGGATATAAAAAGCAACCAAGAATAAGAACTTCGTCCTTTTTAATTCAGAATCAGAACCGAAAATTCAGATTGAATGCTAATCAATTCCTCAAGTGATTTAACAAAAAGTATCAACCAAGTTTTTGGGTCAATAAAATTTGCTAACCTCAAAAAAATCCAAATTTATCTTTCTAACTTTATATTCTACAATAAAAATTAAATCATTAATGTCCCATCCAACAGATAATAAAACTTCCTAACCCACTTTCATAATCAAAATGAGCCCAACTGCTAAATCAAAACTTTTTCATGCTCGATCAAAACTAGCGAGGCCACAATCTAATTTATCTTTCGTTCCAATGTGCTTATGTGTGTGATGTTATGAGTGACTTAATCTTTCATCGAAACACTCGTAAAATGAAATAATTTTAAGGGGTTTGGCCCTTCAGATTTGTCAGTGGCATACATCAGTTGCCCTTTGTCAAATATATATTTATTTATATTACATGTACGTTATAAGAAATAGATGACGATACATATAAAGATAATACAATTTTTTGTGCTGCATTTTTTTCTTATTTTCATTTTCATCTTTAATTCGATTTGTAGTAGAAAAAGTTTTTTTTTCTGTCATGAAACTGTAAAGTTTCACAGATAAGTATACACAATTTTCAAAATAGAAAATAAGTAATAATAAAAGAAACTAGTTGCAGGAGTGAAGCTAGTAAAAGGATGAGTTAATTTAATGGGTTTGGGGCTCAGAAAATTTTGAGGAACCCATCAGACACTCCTCCATTCATAGCTTCACCCCTGGCAAGTTATAAAGAAGTCCTTATTTACAAATCCGTGTGTAGAACTGGTTCGGTTCGTTGAACTACATGAACATTGTTCGCTGTCTCGTTGATTCCATTAATATTATGATTCTTGCTATCAAAATGATTGGGAATTGTAATGGCCGTAGTTTTAATGCAAACATTTTTGCTGCTTTTATCTTGCTCGACAATCGCCGCTGATGTTGCAAGCGCTGTTACAGCTCCCTCTGATTCCTTTCCAGCAATCGTTGTCTTTGTCTTTTGAAAATTGCTCTTTGCAATCGCCGACAATTTCTCTGAGCTTCGATTACTTCGTCCGAAGCGTGGAAAAATGCTATTTTCGATTTGTAGTTGAGCATTAATGTCTTTGCCTCGAGTACACATGCACGCCTTCATAAATGACTTTTTAAAATTGTCACTGAACATGTATAATAAAAAATGAGATTCCAAAATCGATTCAGTAAGCATATAAAGACATAGAAGGGAGAAGAAAAAAAAGTGGGATATAAAATAAGACATTGATTTATTAAGTTGCCTTATCATATACATATGTGTATATTTACTAATGTCACGACAGTGCTATGAACTCTACAATATACATACCTTAAAAATGCATATAAAATGGGATTTATAGCTGAATTGCTGTAGCCCATAGCTCCAACAAGAACAAATACTGTTATTTCCAATTTACTTTGGCAAACATCTGGCGGCGTATTAATAAGTGCCATTTGGCTAACCTATATGCATGAAAATAGAAAAATTCTTTTGTTATTTCCATTAAATTATGTTTTTGGATGTTTAATTTTTTTTGGCACAGCCCACACATGTTGTGGGATGTGTATGGATACTCATATATTTATATAAATTTTGTCATTTGTCTAGCTGTCATTGTCTTGCGTTATCTGTGATTACTGTAAATTTAGGTTTATTTAAGGGATGTAGGAGGGATTCATGAGAATTGAGAGAAAATTAAATGCTATAAATTGAGATAAAGAACTGCTTGGGTTGGAGCAGTGGTTGTCAAACGAGGCTTACAGGTGTTTCAAGGTTATTTACGTCCTTGATAAGTTAAAATTGAATTCATAAGTAATGTTAAGCGAATCTAGTTTGACTTCAAATCTTAAAAGCATTGTAAAGTGTGCGACCTACCGAATGAGTTTGAGAAGCACTGTTTTAGAGTTAAGAATAAGCTTTGGCAAGATTGCATGCATAATAATAATAATAATAATGTGTGAAAGGCCCAGCCTTTCAGCTAGACCTACAGTTTATAGTGGGATCCGAACCACTTGCAAGCTCTGCACATTGCAAAGACACGAGTACGTCATAAGACTCAAAACTACACCCAGTACTCGAACCGAGCTTCAAAAATTAGACTTGGCCTGGAATTGAACCCAGGACCCAGATTGCATGCATAAGACAATAAATTTTGGATACAATACTTTTAGTTCAAAACATTCAGGAGCTTTAACAGTAAGAAAATAACTTCTCAATACGAAATTTCATGTTTGTTCCCAACATTTAGAGTGTCTCAATATAAAATAATTAAATTCCTTTAAAAATAATAGCTTCAAAAAAAATAACTGAATTCAAAAGTTACTCAATAGCTTCATAAACAACCTTATCATCATCCAAAAAATCAACATTAACTTTTCTCTCATTCAAACAAATCGTTATCATTTTTTTGCAATTTCCTTCTGCCATTCTCGACGAGCAAATTGCCCCATTAAGCACACGATATCCTCATAGTCATCGATTTTGAACATAATAATAAGAAATTGAAAGGGATTTTGGTGTTTAGTATCGAAAAAAGGTGTCGTTATCGACGTCATAAGAGATTGATATTGTTTAAAGTACACAAAGCTCGATTGCCTCGCGTTTAATCCAAATGGGAAGTATGGATTGAGATTGTGTTTATTGAGGTGTTCTTTTCGGGAAGTAAAAATTATGAGCATAAGAGCAAGTAAGCCCACAAAACTTCTTTTTTGACAATAAATTTCCTAAATTGTTTTTTTTTGTGCTGCGTTATTTGAGCTTTATTGGTGGGAACTGAATGTAATCTTATTGAAAAAAGCTGACCCGAGAAATACATATTAGTGTGGAGCTAGATTATTGACTAGATCAGTGTTTCTCAAACTTATTGGGCTGCGGAGCAGTTGATCATCCGTTCATGTTTACGCGTCACACTAGCAACGACTATTGACACATCTAGAATTTGTTCGCGGAGCATAGTTTGAGAAGCACTGGATAGTCACATAGAAATTAAGACTAGTTGTAATTATAGCGTCAACATTGATGTCCAGTCCAAACTAATTCAATTCCACATTCCAAAATTAAATCAGCTTCTAAAGAATACCAAGCTTTTAAACACGTGTACTTCCCGGGGACGTAAACTGCCATAGCACCATAATATTCAATAAAATTACCAAAAATGTCTGATAAAACTGTCACATCTGTCTCGAATGACTCTAACATGTAAAATAATACTATACACATACATATTATCCTATTACATTCACTTACCCAATACGGTGTCCAACAAAGAATGTAAACAGCAATGACAGTGAGGACGAGTCGTGTCACCTTACGATGAGATCTCTTCTTATCTTTTGACTTATTCTTTGGTCCAACCGTCTGAAGTTTCTTAATCACTAAATAATAGAATACGAGGATTAAGCTTAATGGAACAGCAAATCCTAAGATTAAGGAATATAATGTAAATGTTGAACCGCCTAGATGTCCATCAACGCTTGGGTGTGACCATAAAATATTACATGTCATTTGCTCCGATCCCGGATACTTTTCAATTGTGTTTGCTGTAAGAGACATAAAAAAATCTTTTAGGTACATAATAAATGAAAATGGCAATAGAATTATCAGCATCAATGAAGAGACAATTGCGAACAATAAATGTCATGAGATAGGCATGGCATTTTGAATGGAATGGGATGTGGAGAGATTATAAAAAATGATGATGATAATAAATGTAACGCACTTGTCGGTCTGTGATCTTGGATAGAATGTGACGAAGATTGTCTTTTTTTCCATCCTGAATAATTTTTTATATTTAGGGCGAATTTCAGCAGGATTTTGAATAGCTGGATTATAAACATATTCACGTGGCTGACTGTCTTGCATCAAACTGAATTATTCAATAAGAGAGTCGGCTGATTAATGACTGACTTCTTAATTATATGTCAGGCTGATTGATTTATTATTTTGTCAATTCAAAGTTTAATTTTTGTGAATTATTTACAGAATAGTTCAATAACTTTCGGACTTGATGGCTAGTGGGATGATAAAGTTGTCATTTGAGGACACGAGATCCAAACAAAAAGTTATTGACCGAACATATTCGTTATTTATTACCAGCCAAGAGGATTAATTTGAAATGTAATAAATATTATTTGTAAAACTTAATTTTGTCACTTAAAAGAAGGATGTTCACATGCTGGGTTTTTGTCTATCTAACCTGAGGTTAGTATGGAATCATGGATGTGGTCAGCATGAGGCAAATCCATATCAAGCAGTCAAAATCATTTTTAAGATGATCGCTTCTGAAAGGAATCGAACTTAGTTCCTCAGAAAATTGAGAAACAAACCGATTTCTGATCTGTTGCCTAACCATTCAGCCACAGAGGTTTTATACTTGAATTGACAAATTCTCATACTTATGACTTGATTCCTCAACATATCATATTCGCAGCTTTAATGTCCAATAATTCAATTTTTAATATTTAATTTCAAACGTGTAGCAACTAGGTCACAATTTTATTCAATTTATAAGGAAATAAAATCCTACAAAATCAAATTTACATCTCGAATCCGCGTAAATTGCGTTTCAGCCTCCCACATACCTTAAAATCTTTTCAAAACATTATTTTGTTATTAATTCAATTTTATGAAATCCCATTTAATCACATCAATCTTGAGTTTAATGGCTTCAATACCTACGTCATTAAACATCATGGCAAAAATTAAGCCAGATCTGTAAATAAATAAAAATGAAAGCTATTTTTTGGTTCGCTCGAAAATTTTTATATTTAGGTCATGAAAGGTCGATTAATTTTCAATCTTCTTTAATTTTCAGTCAATATACTTAGGATGGCCTTTTTTGCAGCGTAATTAAAAAAGCTCTTCCAATACTCCAATTACAATATTTATACAAACTTTTATGGGAAAATTAATGAATTGAAATTAGCGCGAAAGGAAAATAATTATTAAAAAATTAGCTACTTAACGTTTTCAAGTGTTTGTCTTGAGAAAATGAGAAGTTTAAACATTATTATGTTTTATGGAATTCTTTATGTAACTTTAAGAATTAAGAGTTGAGGCTGATGAAACACAAACTAAGTATTTTATTACAAATATGAATAATTTTATGTAATACTAAACTTTGTAAGTCTTAAAAATTGTAAAGTGAAAGTTGGAATCCTATTATTCAAAGAAACTTAAAAGCTTTATAGTTTTTTATGCTGCATTCTTAAACATTTACATTTTATTTTAAAGAACTATTTTAATTAAGGGTTTGTTTGTCAGGTCAACTTTTGTTGCACTGCAGAAAAAGCTTTACTTAAGACCAGGGCTCGTGAGGAGTTTAAAGTTCTAGATTTTCACGAAAAATCACGATTTTTGAAGATTAAAAAAAATTATGATTTTTTAAATCCTACCCAAATCTTTACGTGGGTTTTTTTTTATGAAAGCAAAATCTTTACGTAGGATTTTGCTTACGTATGCGTATTTTCATACAAAAACCAGAGATCGAAGCCGATTTTTTCGGCTTAACTCATTTTTTGATTTTTTTGATAGAAAAAAGCTATTTAACTCACATTTCAAGTATTTAAATTGAACTTTACATGCTTTACTATGATTCTGTGTAATATTTTGTCAGCATGTAGCTATAGTGAGCTCAGAATTTCAATTTAGCCGATTTTAAGCCGATCGGCTTAAATTTCGGCTTAAAATCAGCTAAATTGAAATTCTGAGCTCACTATAGCTACATGCTGACAAAATAATTCGCAGAATCATAGTAAAGCATGTAAAGTTCAATTTAAATACTTGAAATGTGAGTTAAATAGCTTTTTTCTATCAAAAAAATCAAAAATTGAGTTAAGCCGAAAAAATCGGTTTCGATCTCTGACAAAAACAATATCTTCATTTTGAAAAATCAAGAACTTTTAAACTCCTAGCCGGATTAAGACTGTTGTAATGTCGTGAGCATTGTTTGAATCTTTGTCATATGGACAACATTCTATAAAATGATTGAGGATCGGTTTCTGATAAACATCGAAAAGAGGTTTACATATATCCGGTCTATTACCTATCCACTCTCGCCACACATGCTTAACTCTTCCACTGGAAGATTCCCAACACCACAACTGTAAATCCTCCAAAATCGAACAAAACAAACCAATTAGAAATTCTTAAAATGCGAATGATTGAAAATGACAAATTTTGAGTGTAACATCCTCTGAAAACCTTTATCACTTCAAAGCTTACACGAAATATCTAAAAGATATGAAAAAGCTTCGATAAAAGCAACTCAAAATGTCACTGCTCTCTCAAAGATGTCTTAAAATATACTTTAAGTCATGACAACTGCATCATGTAAACCTTAAAAACCAAAAATTTATATCAAAACAGAATGCTTTTGACCTTTTGAAAAATTTACAGATTATTCAGGAAGCTCGTGTATTTGATTATTGAGGAATGTGAAAATTTTCCAAATTTCGTAGTGTATAATTTTAGAATTATTTTTATAAGCTCCTTATAACTAAGCTATAAACTTTCCTTACAACTAAGCTTAAATTGAGTTTTAAAATCATTTAATTGGTCTGCGAAGTTTTGAATCTTAAATTGCTCTGTCAGTTTGGCTGGCTTATCAAATCGTTACTGTCACAAAATGAATAATACTTGGTAATGTTCAACCACCAAATCAGATAAGAATAATATTTAAAACTGTGATTCTACCTTAGAAGTTAAAATGAAATAAAATGCGCATTTGTCATAGTCAGAGTAAAGTAAAATTAAGAAGATAATCGCATAAATTTAGACATCTAATTAGACAATGAAATGTTACATCAAGCCTTAAGGTTTTAGCTATAAATTTATTTTAAAAATATAACCGAAATAAGTTTTAAGTTTAATTTCCTTATTTTATTTTTCTCAAGAAATTTGACATCATTAAACTTTCGAGAACTTTTAATTTTTCAATTTCACAGCTGGAAAAATTGGAAAATGTTTTCCTGAATTGCCTCAAGTAATTAAAAGGAAAATTCAAAATGCTTTATAAATTTTTGATTATTTTCTTTTGAATAAAAAGAAGTTTGTGAAAAGTTTTCTTGTTAATTTATTGAAGAAATCTTGTAGAACTTTTTTGTGCTTTTCTTATGTTTGTGACGTGCTGTAAGTTATTGGAAAATGCAAAAAAATATTTTTTTCTAGGTTAGAAAATTTAATTGAATAGAATTTTGCTTAAATTTTGTAAATTCATGTTAACTGGATTCGATTTGAGTCATAAATCAGCAGAAAAATAATCAAATTTTCTATAAAATAATTTTTACAATCCAATAAGCATTAAATAAAATCTCACCATGCCAACAATAACACACGTCATAAAAAAAACAATTTTAAATTACACTTTTTCAAAGGAACAAGCAACACTTGTTGAAAATGTGTGCACTTTTTGTGTTTCACACGTCAATTTGAAATGTGTGCTTGACACCAAGTTTAAAGAATTGAATGAAAATAAACAGGAAACAAGCATGGAAAAGTTTTCAATCCGAAAAGTTTTTAATAACAAAAATTATTCGAAATTGAGAAATGCAAATAAAAATTTTATAATTTATTTGAATAAATGGAGAAAATAAAATTATTTCCAAGTAAAAATGTGAGTTGAATTCAGGTTGATCGAGTTTAGATTTACGAATTGGAAACAGTTATTTTTATAATCATTAATGAAGGTTTAATTGAGCGAAAATTGTGAAATTTTTTTTTTTGAAAATTGTGAAATGATTATGAAAATTGCTCCAATTTAAATTATTGATGGAAAAAAATTAAAATTTTAAATTAAATTATGAACAAAAACTGTGATTAGATTTTTTTGAACATAATTAAAATGCAAATAATTAAATTTTATTCAAAATATAGAAATAAATTTAAAATGCGTTTTTTTTTTTGGAAAATATCAAAAATTCAAAATTATGACGCATTACACTTCCAATCTAGTGAATTGGGACATTAATTTAATTCAATATCCCAAAAATACTACCTTTAATTCACAAATGTGACCAAAAAGTAGCAACAAAACAATTTGAGTTATTATTGATTTTCAGGTCAGCAACTTTATCAGCCATTATTCATCAAATACATGACATCAATACCCAAATACACTCAAAATATTGCCCAAAAAACAACTCTCAATGGACAGCACTTGACAGGTGATCAATTATCTAAATCACAAAATCTAAAGCTGAATGAGAATGTTTTGAAATTGCTAGACAGCAGACAAAAGGACCATAAGCATGATATGCTCGTGTAGAATTCAACATTTCATGAACTATTCAATTCTATTTGATATAAATATGATTCGTTTAGGGAAAATATTTCACAATTTGTCCCGAAGTTCAGGGAAAACTCAATTTAAACTATTTCAACTAATGCTATTCATCTAGTTCATAAAACTTTATTTATGTGAAGTTATTGTTATGGAAAAAATTGACGTAAAGTTTTTTGTTGAATAAACTTTTAGTAAGGTTGTTGAATCTGTGTGTTTGATGTGCTGGATCTGTACACAAATTATTTAAATTTGAAAATTTTATAGCCATCTTTTTAACTTTGTGGAATCGTTTATGAATGAACACTTATAATCAATAGTTTGGTAAAGCTAAGTCAATTTAGGTATTGTTCCCGAGATTTCAATTTTAGGTTAGCAATTCCTGCGTTTCATATGCCATTGAATAAATCAAAAATTATTGTTTAAATCTAACTCGACTAACTCTGGAGATCTAATCTGGCCTGTCAATATTTGATATCGCATTCATTCAAAGGCCTTAAAAGCCTGAACAATATGAAAATATTTTCTTTTAGATTAGATTTTATTCAGCTCATGAAATATAAAACTCATCGTTTGCCAGCTAAAAAAGCAAGCCTGAATTATACTGCGAATGAGAAAAACAGCTTGACTTCCGACGCTTTATTGCAAATATTATTTTTTTTCCACAATACAGAATTGGAGAATTGTGAAGGATTGTTATGAAAAATTGGTAGTATAAACTTTTGAGACTACAGGAGGTTCCTATGTTAATATTGAGGTTATGACTAAATAAGCAAAAAATTATTGAAGAAAAATTGGAAGTTTAAAGTTTTAACACAGCCAACAAATCAATCCTTAATCAATCCCAACCCTGCGAATTTCCCATCAATTTTCCTCTTCAAAAAAGAAAATAAGCCAAAGATATATAGAAAGTGATTATAAAGAGCGAACAGAACAAGAAGAAGTTGGAAAAAAACATAAAGCTTATCTCCCTCGACAGCGTCGAATGAGTAAACAGTTTCCAACAGTATAATATTACGTGTGTCAGTCACTCATAATGTGCAGAATTAGAAAACCATTTTACCCTTCGTATTCGCAATGCGACTGTGAAGTATTTGATGAAGTGCAAAAGTTTTCTTTCTGTTATTATAAGTGAGCAGTTTTGAATGGAAAGTTGGATGTTGAAATGTTGTCAGATTGGTCTTTTACATAAAGAAATCATGTTTTAAACTTATCAAGACTGACTTTGTCGTTTAGAATAATATCGACTTGGCCGGAGCTTAGCATAGATAGACATCCTTAATAACAAATGTTTATGTCACTTTAAACGTCATTTTGTTGGAACTAGCACATACATCGGGAAACTCTGGGGTCGTTCACTTATGACGTCCATGAAAAAACCTGATTTTTAGACCCCCCTCCCCCCTCTGTCACAAAAATTCTATAGAAAAAAATTTCCATTGTTTGAACTGTCACAAAATCATAGACCCCCCTCCCCCCTTAAATGTTGGACGTCATAAGTGAACGGCCCCTCCTCTAGATTGAACAAACCTTCATTGCAAGGGATTGTTCAATCAAAACAAAGAGATGATCTGATTACGTGTTTAAGAAAACGTGAAAAACTCCTCAAAAGCTGTCAATCAGCTTATCTTAGACACTTTCTGATAGATTCAGTCAGAAGATCAATATTTGATTGAAATAAATGCATGTTTTGGAGAAAAACATGTCAAGAGACTGACATCTATCTATAGAATCATAACATCTCTTCTGAGTTGATGTTGAGTAGCTCCTTTTAATGGTGTAACCTTCAAATGAAGCTTTATACTCAATATAGTAAGTTTGAATTGAGAAGAGAGGAAGGAAAAATTCCTTAAATCTTAAGAAATTTGATTTTACCAATTTAACAGCCTCAATTTCAAATTTATATGCCAAAACAAGAAAGAAACTTATAATCCAGCATCAAGTACCAAGCGCATAGCTAGGAGGGTCTTGTCCCCCCTTAAATGTTTTGAACCGCAGCAAGAGCACGGCCTAAAACGCTTAAGAGAGGGACAAGACCATCCTAGCTACGCGCCTGTCAAGTTCCTCTGATTTTGCTATTTCTCAATTCATTTCAATCAGAAATCCTTTAAAACGGAGTTGCGTAACAGGCCACCTGTGAAAGGTAAGAACCGTTCAATTCCTTGATAATTTGTATGGTTTTGTTAGAAAAACCTTATAAATTATCAAGGAATTGTAGGGTTCTCACCTGTCACAGGTGCCTGTTTCGCAACTCTGCTTTAAAATTGCGCCAATGCCACAACCATCCCACAAAGATAACATCAAAACTCAATTCCATAATCAACAAGCAAGCAAACATGAGAGTAAATACACTTACCATACAACATAACGGGAAGCATGATGAGTGCAGAAATTCCCCATGCCAAGAGTGACACAATTTTCGATACTAATTGCGTTCGGAATCTTGGCGATGATATGGGATGACAAACAGCAATAAATCGATCAGCAGACATAATTAAAAGAAATATGGACGAGGAGAATTGTGTGATGGATGTTGAGACCATGTATAATTTACACAAGAATGACCCAAATATCCACTCATTAAGATACATAGTTGTTAATAGAAATGGTATGCCTATGAGAAATGACTCATCTGCTATTGCAAGATTCAATATATATCTATTTGTAACTGTCTGCATTTTAGAGAATTTAAGGACAACATAAATGACTAAAGTATTTCCAAATAATCCAACACAACAAACAATGATGTACAGTATAATAGCTATCACATTTCCCGCAGGATTTTGTGTGGAAGCGCATGTTAAATATTGCATTGAATCATTTGTTGTGAAGTTGTACAGCGGATATATCGAGTGTAACCAGAATTGGTAAAAATTCATTGTCGTTCTTGAGTCATTCATATGTGGTCGGAAGAAGCGGCTTGCTGTACCATTTCCATTCATTGAGTGGTTAAAATTCTTCATTGCAGACCAAATTGTCAGGAAATCCTCTTGATAATGTTGATTCGACATCATCGATGCTGATAGGAGCGGTAATGTTTGGTTCATGTTTCAAACTTTGTCTTGTTACTGTAATTCCGTATGGGATGAATGACTGCAATATCTTTGTTGTAATTGTCAGCTGTATATGAGGAAGAGATTTATGTCAGACGTGGAAACATTGTGGCTCATGTAAAATACTTTTTTTTATGGTTTTTAACAATTTTTTTAATTAAAAATTCAGTGGCATTAAATTGTAATTTGAAGGGTTTTGTTGAGAATGCTTATGGGATCTTTCTTTTGCTGTAATTGTAATGCAGACAATGAAACATGCCGCAAAAAAGTTGCAGATGAGTTTAGAGTCGATTGATAAGGACGAGAAAAGGAGGAATATTTGCTCTAGGTGTCGTGGTTTTGGGGGGCAAAACCTTTTATTGTAATTAAGGAGCCGTTCACTTGTTACGTAACCAGGAGAAGTGATTTAGGCCTTAAAATGTAATTTTTTAGAATCCCATTGCTCTTTTTTGGGTTAACAAAGAAAAAATAAGAATCTATTAATTTAAATTTGTAAAGTTAAGTCTAATAACTTATATAATTAATGCTAGAAGGGCTCAGCTTTCGATAAGCAACTATGATTATAGAATCTATTTAACCATACTCTTTAGGTCTACAGTATATAATAAAATCTGAGACATTCGCTAATAAAGTAAGATTAAACCCAATCAAGATAAAGCTAGATCTTTGTCTGATATTATAAAGACTTTCAAGCTTAAAAACTGTTGGAATATGCGATTCCATGTAATAGCCAGTCAACGATAAATCTATTGTGCAAAGGAACAATAAAAAAAGTGTAACTTCCCTAGCGAGACTAACTAGCAAATTGCTAGTCTTTCTATTCTACTACTTGCAATTTACTAGTTATTATTTAAACAACTTACTATTAGTAAATTACAATTGCTTTTTAATAGCAAATTACTAGCAAATTACTAGCAAATTACCATGTGAAATGTTTGATCAAATCTGATTAAGTTCAAATCTTGAAATCTTGAAATCACGAAAAATCATCAAAAAAATTACAAAAGTCCTCGTGTTATTGATCGAGGGACTTCAGCGCATTTTTGACGAAGCGATCAGTATTTGATTATAATTAATAATTTGCTGCAATGAATTTCCATATAGAAAAAGTTTATCATTTAACGGTTTTTTAAAATTTGAAATTTTACAACGGCTAGAAAAAATTTGAAATTATAGAGGTAAATTTGAATTTATAGAGGTAAAACAAAATTTGAGCAGGTTACACTGAAAACAAAACAAAAACTCATTAATTATAGCATAAATACACTGCTTGAAGACTTTTAACTGTTCGATCGGACAATAAACAATAGTAACGGAGCTAATAAAACAAATCCGAGCTCTCTACGATGTCTGGTTGCAAAGTTTTTATGCTTGCCCGAACGAACGAACGAACAAAGTGTATTATTGAGCTCCCTTTTCGAAAACAAGTTTTCAAAAATGCGCTAAAAAGAATTTTTTGCGTCATAAAAAATTTTGTTCTAAATTTGGCATTTGCCATATACTCCAAAAAATTTCAAGCAATTCCAAGCAAATGAAAATGCGGGTCTTTGGCGAAGATTTGAACTTGGATTTTGACTAGTAAATAGCAAGTAGCAAATGGAAAGTTATCCAGTAAATTACTAGGAAATTACTAGTAAATTTCTGCTAGAGCTTATATATAGGATTTAGCCATATAGTCGTGTAGCCCCCGATAGCTCAGTGGTAGGAGCATGTGACCGAAAATCGTAGGATGAGAGTTCGAGTCCCTTACGGGAGCCGTTATTCTGAGTCATCCCTTTTTCTCTGATTCTGTCATCTAGAAGTTTGCTTCTTCTTTCTAGATGTTTTAATAAAAACTTAGATTTTTGTTGGTTATGGCAAGGAGGAAAGTAGCAAGAACTCGCTAATGATTGACTTGGGATCAAATTAGCTGTAAAAAGGAGCATTCAATCAATAGAATTTCTAATGATGAAGAATCTCCTTAACCCAAGCATTCATCTTGCTTTCAGAATGAGTTTCAGATCCAACCACAAAATGTCTAACCCTTGACAGATGAAATATTACATCCTCAATGCGCACATATGTGTCTTGAATAGTTGTAAAATATTTCTCTTTATTCTCTTTTATAGTATCTTCCTTATTATTTGTAATAATAATTTTTTTATGCAGAAAAAAGGTGATGAAATGTTCGATTCAATATTTCCTCACATATGAATGCATAAAAATATTTCCAATTTATTCACAATTTCCCTTTTTCCTGCTTTTTATTTTTTGTTACATTTCTTTGCAATTTGAATCAATTTTATATTTTCTTTTATTGTTTTCTTTTGTTATGACGATTATGGAAATTTGATATATTTCAGAAAGTTTCAACTTCAGGGACTTCATTCGTTGACATTTTATGATGCCTTTAATATTTTTTTAAATAAGAAAAAAAGGTTGCTATTGAGCTGGGGATGAAATAATATTTAATGTGAGAATATTAAAGAATTTTTGGGAAGGGCAAAAAAATAAACTTTTAAAAGTGAGGGTCGAAAAAACTTGGAAAAGTTGTAAATTGAGGTTTATTCTTTAACTTGAAGCTTAAAATCGCTTAGAAAAGTGCAACATCATTGAAAATAAATTAAAAAAGTCGAGAGAAATTTATTGAAAGAATTTATTTTGGGTGAAAATTAGAAATTAATTCACGATTGAGTAAAACACGATAAAGTTTTTTTTTGCAAAAAAAGTTCTTTTACTAACCAATTGCGACTGCTTACTTATGGAATCTAACGTAGGAGAAGCCGAAGGGATTGTGGGAAATCAGAGTCTTAGCTAAGGTTTCTGACTTATTCATCTTTTTCAATCTATGTTCAAAAACGCATCACATAGTTTGCCAATTTAAGGATGATAATATATAAAAATTATGACCATGACAGTGACAAAACTAAGAGCATCAGGTGCAGAAAGTGTGTAACTTATATATGACAGTTAGCCATTCAGTCAAATAACTGCTGATAGCTCAGTAGTAGAAGCATGCGACCAAAAATTGTAATACGAAGGTTCGAGTCCCGTTAGGGATTCTTTATCCAGAGTTTCACATTATTTTTTCTGTTTAACAACAAAGGATGTAGATAGTAGGTTCGGGTACGGTTAAAAATGAAATTAATCTAATCACCATTTTTTTCTGTTTAACAACAAAGGATGTAGATAGTAGGTTCGGGTACGGTTCAAAATGAATTTATTCTAGTCACCATTTTTTTCTGTTTAACAACAAAGGATGTAGATAGTAGGTTCGGGTACGGTTAAAAATGAATTTATTCTAGTCACCATTTTTTTCTGTTTAACAACAAAGGATGTAGATAGTAGGTTCGGGTACGGCTAAAAATGAATTTATTCTAGTCACCATTCAAGAACGACTCAACTAATTATTCGAAAATATATAATCCACCAACCATAATCAACCCTATGTCCTCTTCCTTCCTCAAAATAAGATTTCTTCTTCAACAAATTCAACGTGTCAGGTTACTAATACAATTTTCATGTCCACATTTGTCTAACCATAAAAAAAAAACTTTACGATTAAATTATTACTCCTGTTTTTTTGTTTGCGAGCTTCCTCTTGTCTGTGTCTGCTCGTTTCCAACAAGTTCTGTGTTATGATGAGGAATATTAAGGTTTATGATACATCAATTTTATGCCATAAAAAATATGTATTTCCTTTCATCACTTTATCTTAATTTGTTTTCAACTTTTGTAGTCAATTTTGATATTTTTATTCTTTCCTTACTTTAATGTTTGGGTAAGTTGTATTTGGTTCACTATGGTCGTTAAATGAGTGGAATTGCGGCGATTATTATTAAATATTGTTTTATTCACTTTTTGATGAGGTTTTGTCGCTGTTTTTGTAAGTTGAATTGTAAAGATTTTTTGTTGATTTATTAAAAGTGGTTTTTGCTTGGTTTTTGAGTTTTTGGAGATTTTAAGTTTAATGTTTTATCATTTTTTTTAAAAAAATTTATCATTTTGAAATTTTTCATCAAATCTTAAGTTTTGTTCTTTTTCACTTTTCATTAATTATTAAGTATTGTCCAAGATTCTTAAATAAACTTCAAGTTTATTCATAATAATTGTCTAAATTTTCAAATTTGATTTTTTTCAAGATTCTTCAAAATTTTAATTGATTTTTAAGTTTTTCTTCAATTTCAAATTGTTTCCAAATTTTATTTCTAATTTCTCATTGAAATTCTTAAACTTTTTTAAAATAATTCCAAAAATGTCACTTCAAAATTCTTAAAAAAAATTCACATTGGAACTTCTCAACGCACAACCTATTCATCTAGACTTCCTCAAATTTTTTCCACATGTCCATTTTCACAAAACTCAAAAAAAAAACACAAAATTTCCCATTCAAAAAAGTAATTCCATCATCGGATGAATAGTCGTTGATGTTACAAGATTAATGACCCACGAAATCACTTTTTCATCACATCAAGCACAAGAATATCCATTTCATAAAAGAAAATAATTGCTGATCCACATCATAAAATTTTTTTAATATTATAAATTTTTTACTGTCTGGCTATTGTAGTTTTGTGTCTCTGTACCTTTTTTTCTCGATATACACCGACAATGTCTTAATGCCTTTAAACAAAGAAGCACGAGGAGGATCGAGAGGAAAAGAGATTGGAAGGATGCTCGAATCGAGTATTCTGACTGAAGCTCATTCATAAAAATTACAGACTTTTATAAGAGAGCTTTCGTATAATTTTGAACCTGCTGCTTTTGAACTTTTGGGAGTGCTTTTCGGTGCCGCTCACAATTGTGAACAACAGAGAGGATCAAAATAATTTATAAACAATTTTATGTGCGCATGATTGCCATGTGCAACTTGTTGAATATATTTTTGATTTTGTTTTCATAAATTATATCCGGAAGTTTACAATCGGCATGCTTTAATAATAAAGGAACTTCTACGAAATGAAATTTACTGTTCCCAATTTTATGTTTTTTTCTTTTGTTCAGCTCTTTGTAAAGTAAAATGACTGCTTCGTGATTACCATGATTGATTATTGTGAATTATTGAAGTTTTGGGGTTGAATGTAGGAAAGTTTGGGGAGAGAATGTATTTGGAATTTTTGAAGATGTATCAAGGAAATGTGAACGATTTATCAAATAAATTAACAATAAGAAAATATTGAAGTATTTTGAATTTTCTTGGAGAATTAATTGTTTTTAAAGAATTTATGTGGTTTACTATTCTTGGTTATATAATAATCAATTTTAAAAATGTATCTTAATGTACTTACCAACTACTGGACTGTATTTCAATCAAAGTTTAAATTAGAACTAAAGAGTAATTCAATTTCACAATATTTCAAAGCCAACTGCGATAATATTTTACCAAATACATAATACAAATATAATACAATGGGTCCTAGATTTAAATAAGATTTTTCTGGAACAAAACACATTCTCAAATCGAGGACCCCAGTACAATTCAACAATGAAATTTCCGTTATTTTTCAGAATTTTGAAATTTCTCACACAATTTCATGAGTGTGTTCACAAAAAAATTTGTGTTCAAAAAACAAAATTTCAAATTTTCCCTTCATTAGTGCATTTTAATATTCTAATATGAATTTTAAAGCATTATATGACTATAGGAATATATTAAAACTATTTTTTTTTTTTTTTTTTTTTTTTTCCATTTAGACATTTTCAATTTATTGGTATTTTTTTCCGTTTTTTTGTGCTCCTTTCCTTAGTAAGGAAAAAGCCTTTTCAAATGGTAATTAAACCATTTGAATAGGCATAAAAAACCTTTTTGGAAAGTGCATAATTACAAGTAATATAAATAAATAAATTGAAAAAAAAACATTAACATTTGAGAATAAAGAGATCAATGAAGCATAAGCTTCCTTTAAGATCTCTTTGGCGAATTTAGCTAACAGTTAAATCATTTTTAAAATAGACAAGTTCAAAACAAGTTTAAAAACAAGTTTAAAAACATAGTAACGGTAACAAAGTATTTGAAATTGTGTAAGATCATCATTAAAAAGCTATAACACATGAAATGTTAAAATCAGTGAAATAAAATTTCAATTTAAAATGTAAACAAATCATTTTTGAACACAGTTCTTTTGATTTTGAAAGGGGCCGTTCACTTATTTCGTTCGACTTTTAGGGGGGAGGGGGGTTTGAAAAATTGTAACAAAATGTAACATAGGGGGGGGGGGGGGGGGGGGGTGTAAAGAAGTATGTAACGTTTTAACTGTCGTCTGCCTTTAAAAAAAGTTCACGAAAAAAATTTGTTCACAAACTCACACAAAAAACATTTTTTTAAATTTTCCACCTTTTTAATGATTTATGAAAAATTATCAAAATAAAATAAATTATGAACGTTTAGGAGGGAGGGGGGGGGGGGGGGTTGTGAGTTGTAACATATTGTAAAAGGGGGGGGGGGGGGGGTGAAAAAAGTCGTTTTTTTGCGTAACGTAATAAGTTAACGGCCCCAAAGATGATCTACAAGCATTTGTTTAATAATCTTAAGCGTCATCCAAAGTTTGATTCAAACCTTGTTTATCTTCAATTCAATGCTCTGGTTCTCAATTATCTATTTTGAAAATCATTATTTGATGCGTAGGTTGATTTACATCACGAATTCAAAATACACAAGACCTTTCTGAGATTTTTTTTCATTATTCATATTATTCTCTTTTCAAATTAACTTCGACTTCCTATGTTGAATTAATCCATCTTCTAACGAGCAGCTTGAATATTTCGAAATCAATCCATTAAATAAACCCTCTTAGAATAAAAAGTTTTAGAAATAAAACTTAAAGCTCAAAATCAATAAATGAACCCCACAGCAACAGTATAAATATTAAGTAAACAAAAGAAAAAAAAACAAGACGTTCTTAATGCAATTTATGTGTGTGACCTTGTTACAATAATTTATGCATGCTTAATCAAAAATATTTTTTTTTTTTGGTATTCGAAAAAGTAATCATCAGTTTGGCTTATTGTATGATACTGGAGGAAATAAAAAGGTATCACGACTTAACTTTAATCTAGCAACTCTTTGAACCTGTAAAGTGGGGAAAAAAAAAACTTAGAAGATGATAATAAAATTAAGCATCAGAACGAAAGTTTCTATACACATTAGCTAAATCACTTTCTCAAACCTCGTAGATTCATCCTCAAAAATCAACAATCCTTAAAAATGCGCCTAATTCATCCCAACAAGCCTAAAAATTCATATTCAAAACATTTACATTTGACAATTGTGACAATCAATAACATTGAACATGCATTGAGGAAATATTTAACTTTACGACAGCAGTTGAACATTTTCAGTCATCACGTTTACATCGAAACGGTTTCAAATATGCAAGTAATGAAGTTACCATTTTATTTGGGGCTATTTGCAGCTCTAATCGGAATTATCATTCTGAGAATTGAATTACCAAAAGTATATAACAATCTAGTGACAAGTTTAAGTGATAATAGTGGCAATTATCAAATCTGGCTCTCATCCAAAGACCAGTCACGTCTGAGTCTCGAACGAAACATTTTCAAGCTCTTAAAGTACAATGAAGTTGATGGTTTATGGAACAGTAAATGGGACATTCTATGGAGCATTGAGTATCCATTTCATCGCTTTAAGGAGAGTATAAAAAATTTACAACAGAATCAACGCATCAATCACTTCCCCGGTATGTCACAGCTTACAATAAAGAAACATTTGGCTACAAAGTTTACGAATTATGATTTCATTCCAAATGGTTTTACATTTCCGAATATGAAAAATGAGTTTGAGGAGTTCTGTGCTCAACATCCAGAGACGAAATTCGTTGAGAAAAATTGGAACAATCGTGGAGTGAAGCTTGTGAGGAATAAAAATGAAATAAATTTTCAAAGTTTATCGACGAATGAAAAGTTTCTACAAGAATTTATTGAGAATCCATACTTGATTGATAATAGAATGTTCGATATTGGTATTTATGTGCTAATAACATCCTTTGATCCATTGAGAGTATATAAATTCAATAAAGAAATTTTATTGCGATTCTGTGCTGAGGATTATTATCCATTTGATCAAGGTAAGAGAAAATTAATGTGACTTTTTATTTGGATGACTTGCTTTTTGGGTAGGAACTTTTGGTATGTAATTTTGGTTTAACTTTGTGTCTTTGAGAGAATTTTAATCTATTCCTTTTGATCTTTGTTCGTGAACAAACAGAATATATGAAACGGGGCAAACAACTATGTTACAAAAAATATATTTCAAATCTCAAATTGACGTTATGACAAGTTCAATTCTTTTAAGTTCAATACTTCAATATCCACCTTCAACTGAATATTTGATATTTGAGAACTTTCCACTCCAAGACAATAAGAAAAGTTATTAATTTATTGATAATCAATCCATTTAATCTACAGAAATCTCCAGCATGTGACAGACTTCTTCATCTTTTCTCTTTTCTACTTCAAGCATTTTATTATATTTCATCTTGAAATTCAATTTAGATCAACAAAGCAAACGCGTTCAGCACATTTTTAATCCTGCATTTCAAAACCTTCAGTCATTCATTAAGAAAAGTTTCTTTTTAATGTCTGATCCCATTGACAAATGACCCTTTTCTCTCTGTCACAATTTTCGATTCACATTGCAATCAGCTATCCACATTGTAAGGGATGTAGTTAGGATTTGGGTGTAGTCAGGACAAAGCTTAATGTAATCGAATTAAGATCTCTTCATTTGAGTAAGAGGCCGTGCACTTATGACGTCCAGGGTGAGGGAGGGGGGGGGGGGGGGGTCAGCAAGAAAAGAACAATAGAAATTCCCAAAGCTCGAAGTCGATGAAATTTTGTATGTAGTCGAGTCGACTTTGAGCTCTGGAAATCCATTGTTCTTTTTGAAAAATGACGTTAATTTCGGATGTCATTATTGAACGTCCCCTAATGAAAACTGTCAAAATCTATATAAAGACCCTCCTACACCCCTGCAAGCGTCAAAACATCTTTATTCAATAAACCACAACAGAAATTTCCTGATTAAAACTTAATTCCACTGATCCTTTAAATTTTTCAGCAAATACAAAAAAGTTTGTGGTTGACGATAATAGTATTTATGTCTGGGACATTCCTTCACTGAAAGATTATGTTTTAAACTTTAATTTTACGACCAAAGATGCATTTGAAATTTATATGAGACAGAAAGGTTGTGATGTACCAAAGCTGTGGGAGAAAATGGACGATGCTGTAGTCAAGTTATTATTAGATAATGAGAAAAATGTGATTGCTGAAACTGGTAAGACTTTTTAATAATCTCATTAAGATCAGGATGTCATGCAAGGAGATGATGTCTGTGGGGTTCCACATTCAAAGTTCTTGATGAGTTTATTTTCATTGTATGGAAGTGGATTTGAGTTTACTTTGAGTAATTTGTGAGATTTTTTATTATTTTGTAGGCTAGCTGATTAATCTGTAGGTTGCTTGACTAGTTTGTAGGTTGTCTGACTAGTTTGTAGGTTATCTGACTAGTTTGTAAGTTGCTTGACTAGTTTGCAAGTTGCCTGACTAGTTTGGAGGTTGCCTGACTAGTTTGGAGGTTGCCTGACTAGTTTGTAAGTTGCTTGACTAGTATTTAGGTTGCTTAACTAGTTTGTAGGTTGTCTGACTAGTTTTTAGGTTATCTGACTAGTTTGTAAGTTGCTTGACTAGTTTGCAAGTTGTCTGACTAGTTTGTAGGTTATCTGACTAGTTTGTAAGTTGCTTGACTAGTTTGGAGGTTGCCTGATTAGTTTGTAGGTTATCTGACTAATTTGAAAATTGTCTGACTAGTTTGTAGGTTATCTGACTAGCTCATACTTAATTAGACAATGCTTTAAGTCATTCTAATGGTTAATTCGATAAGAAGAGTGAAGCTTATCTCCAAACTGTTCAACCATAAAGCTCAAAACCAACCCCACCTTGCATGCAGGATGTCAATTAATTAAAAACTTTCTTTTCATCTTTCAACTTTTTCATCCCACAGCAAAGATTGGTCAATCTTCTCGAAACTTTTTTGAAATTCTACGCTTTGATTTCATCATTGACAAAGAACTAAAAATACACTTGATGGAAATTAATATGAGTCCCAATTTGGGTGCCATAAAGGACAATTTTAACATCAAACGCAATTATCGCAGCCAATTAATCTTCGATACATTAAATATCATCGGCGTAGCAAGCACAAAGGAGATGACGAAACATGAAAACCGTTTTATAGCTTCTGATGAGCGAGATGTTGTTATTCCATTAGCTGAATGCAGCACAAATGACTGCAATTGTTCACAAGAGAGTTGTAAAGTGTGTATGGCATGCACGAAGGAATATCATGATCTCATTCATCAGTTCTATGGTGAACATGTGAGGCGTGGACGAATGAAGAGAATTTTTCCAGTTAAAAAGCATTATGATGGGAATTTAATGAATCACGTAGGTGCTGCAAACAAATTTTCAATTAAATGGTTTTATAATAAATGTAAAATTCATGATGAATGGTGCTGAATGATGCTTTTAGAATAATGAGATGGAAATGAAAGCAATTGTCGGTTGGGAATAACAAGTTTTTGTAGATTTTTATATTAATAAAGGTTTAATATTGCAATTAAGAAAGATTTTTGTTCTGAATTTTCAATTGTTTAATTTTGTACGTCTTCAAATTCGACTTGTTAAGGATATGTCGCCTTAAATCATGGTCATTTCAGAGTTAGAGTCTGACGATCCTCTCTTGGTGCCTTTGTCAAGCTAAGCTAGCAGTTCGTCTACTTCTGATCATAGGAACTTGGAATAAAGGGGTTGTTCACTAATGACGTCCGGGGGGGGGGGGGGGGGGGGTCAGCAAGAAAAGAACAATAGAATTCTGAAGAATGCCAATTCTTGTAGAAGCTCACAATTTCCCCTCGAAAAAAAACATCACATAACTTTAACGGACGAAAATGCTTCAAAGCATAAATAACGATGACTGGGCAACATCCAAACAGAAATCAAGCAACAACTTATTCATAGGGCGTATCTGTTTCATTATTATTTTTTGATAATTAATTTAATTTACAACATGCACAAATTAAATTATATTTTAATATTGCTTCTAACCTGTTTCTTCATTGATTCAAGTAAGTTTTCAGCCGTATATCCATCAAAAAGCAGTCAAAAATGATTAAAACTCTTTTGTAGCTTTTGCAATTTGGTGTTATCGATGTAATTCAGCAACGCCTGGATGTTCTGACAATTTCAACTGGCGTGGTATCGGATATCTTGGCGAATCATGTCCAGAGGATGATGATATTTGTGTAAAAGTCATTGAGACAAAAGGAGGTAAGTGACTTAATATTCCTGATCAAAAACTGAGCAAATTCAAATTGAATTTTCATTTTAGCAAGTGAATTTATTACTCGTGATTGTCTAAGTGCCTTAGTTCCATATAGAACAGACATTCCAGCTGATAAATATGAAGGTTGTCGTAGGGCAACTTACGACCCAAAATTAGCTAATTACGTCAATAATTCCATTAAAGAAATTAACGTCAAACGAGACTATTTCGACTCGACACTCTTTTGCTTCTGCTTCTTGGATCACAGATGCAATGGATCAAGTAATTTAAGCATATCGACTCTTCTTGTTGTCTCACTATCAGCTGTCTTTGCCTTCTTACGACATTAAGAGAATTTTAACGAATATTTAATTAGAATCTGCACATTCCAAAGTTCTCATTCCGTCCTGAATAGTTTTTAACTTTTAAAAAAGAAAAGTATTAGGTCCGTCCATAAATGAAATGTTTTTTGTAGCAAGTGAATGAAGTTTTGTGAGATTTTTTTGACGAATAAGTTTAAAATTGATGCATTGACTGTTGAAATGTTGTTGTGCAGGTCATTAAGCAAAAGAAATCAATAATCCTCAACTATGACAACCTATATCCTAGATTTGACAGTTGTATTTATGCTTAAATGATCATGAAAATTACAAAATCGCAAAGTTCAAATATTGATTGTAAATGCTAGACATTATCGAGTTTAATGATGAAGATTCCAATAGAGTAAAATCTAAGCGTCTTATAATTAAATGACAAACTTACAGTAGCGTGCAGAATATTATGGACGGTCAAAAAAAATTCGTTTTTATTTTCAAAAGCATACTTAACGTTGTCCAATTTAGATGAAATTTTCACCACTTATACTGTTTTTCATGTGCTTTCACATGATAAAATATAAATATGCTATAATTAATAATTTTTGAAAAAACCGTTAAAATTCAAAATCAGGTGCGTGCAAAATATTATGGACGATTCTTTTTTGGTAATTTTTTTTATGTTTAAGCTATTTAAGCTTACTTTTTAAACTTTAAACATGAAGTTCAAACATTTTACTCCAATTTTATACATTCTTAATGGATGTGTAGCAAGTTTAAGGCATAAAAAAATCATGATGAAAAATTATGCAAATATTTTACTATTTTTGTTACTTTTCATCAATAGCAAGCATTAATATCGGTTATTTTAGACTGTAATGTATTGAATTCTTAACTATCTTTCTATTGATATATAATTTGTCTGTATTAATATAGTCTAAATGAAAAAAATTACGAAAAAAGTTCATTAAAGAGGGAAAAATTTCATCAACAAAAATATAAATTGATTAAAATTTCTTAAATATCCATGAAATATTACCCAATTTAGTCTTATTTTCTCACATTTATGTTGTAGATTAGTAATTGAGCAGTTATAAATTTATATTTTGAGTAATAAAGTCATAAAAAGAGAGCCTTCTGTATGACCAAAAGAAAATTTTAAAGACGAAAAAAATATTTGTCATTAAACTTTTAAGTATGCATTTTTCTCTCTTGTTTTTGGCTTAAATAGTTGGCAAAGAGTATTTTGAGTTGTTTTTAATTGATTTACATAAATTTATACTGCATAAAATGTAAAAAATATTATGAAATATTTTTCAAGTTTCAACATGACTTTTTTCATAGTATTGGCTCATAAAAATATATCTTATCGTGCAATATTAAAATGTAATTCTACCTAATTACTAATCTACAACATATATGTGAGAAAATAAGACTAAATTGGGTAATATTTCATGGATATTTAAGAAATTTTAATCAATTTATATTTTTGTTGATGAAATTTTTCCCTCTTCAATGAACTTTTTTCGTAATTTTTTTCATTTAGACTATATTAATACAGACAAATTATATATCAATAGAAAGATAGTTAAGAATTCAATACATTACAGTCTAAAATAACCGATATTAATGCTTGCTATTGATGAAAAGTAACAAAAATAGTTAAATATTTGCATAATTTTTCATCATGATTTTTTTATGCCTTAAACTTGCTACACATCCATTAAAAATGTATAAAATTGGAGTAAAATGTTTGAACTTCATGTTTAAAGTTTAAAAAGTAAGCTTAAATAGCTTAAACATAAAAAAAATTACCAAAAAAGAATCGTCCATAATATTTTGCACGCACCTGATTTTGAATTTTAACGGTTTTTTCAAAAATTATTAATTATAGCATATTTATATTTTATCATGTGAAAGCACATGAAAAACAGTATAAGTGGTGAAAATTTCATCTAAATTGGACAACGATAAGTATGCTTTTGAAAATAAAAACGAATTTTTTTTGACCGTCCATAATATTTTGCACGCTACTGTAGTCATTAATCAATGTCAAGTGTTTCTTGTGTGTATTTTTAGTTGTGTCATTTTTAACGAGATTTTGAAAAATTTCTCTAATTTACACATGACTCAATTCATGCTTAATATTAGCTAGAAAAAATTATTGAGTAATTGTCTTATGAAGAACCCATTCCATTCGCCAATCTTTGTTTACTTGAGGTTTAGCCTTCTATAAATCAAGTCAGATCGAACAACATTAAAACCTTAATTTGTTAAATTAATGGTAAAGTCAAATTAAAAGCATAAAGTTTCAAATTCCCTTTGAAAGTCTCACAAAAAATCGTATCTAAGCAAAAAGTCAATTTTATAAACTCAATTGTAAAATGAATCTCTGAATATGTAGATTAATAGATTTTTAAAATTAAAATACAATGAATTTTTATAAACATTAAGCTTGATCTATTTTATTTCAAATTTCCCCCCAAAATCATAAAAATATTTATCATCATGATAGAGAATTTAAGTATTATTTTCATATGCTTCGCTTCTGTCATGCAAAAAAAGGTAAAATAGTAAATTCGAAATGTTTAGTTCTTTTTGGAGAAGGATGGAAAGTTTTGCTCAACTAATACTTCAATTATTTCATGTTTTTGTGTCGAATTGGAAGCTGCTGAGCGATTGTTTCAGCACTATCGTGCAGAATATGACAGTTTGCGACTTCCGGAGATATTGAATCACTACAAAGTACAGCAATATTGCACATAATTTTCAAAGAATAAGCCTCAACTATCCAAAATCGTCTGTACTGATCGCATTCTTATCAAATGAAAAAATTAAGTTTAAATTTTGCAAAATGCAACAATTACGACAATTTCTTAAACCATGGACCAGTGTATCCATTGATCTCATATCCAACAGCTTCCAATTCCAATCCCTAATAACAAATTTCTAAATCAGAACAAAAAAAAAATCTTTAATCTCATCTAGAATGGAAAAAAATTCAACTAATACTAAATGCACGGCTATTAAGGCATAATTGATGCAAAATGTCTTTCAAATTTTCAACTTTATACGTACTTTTTGAGCGACTACTCCCAGCATAGCACGTAGACATTTATATACAATGTAACGGAGAAAAGAGAAATGTTGATTTAATTATTTTTAGTAAGCAAAGTTCAATTCCTTATCATAGCCAAGTTTATCAAGATTTGGCAAGCATGCGAAATTAACCATTGGTGGTGGACCGCACATGAGAGTAAGTGTGTCTTCTGATGGCGCAAATAGATTATTTTGAATCATGGTATCATTAACAAATCCAGTATCGAACTTCCATGTTGATGAAGCACGATCAACTGTATACCAGACTTTAAAGTTCTCTTGATGCTTAGCGGCTAGAACGTCGATATCATCTCGCAGTAAAATATCAGTTTCGGTTTGATTAGCGTAAAGGAGAGCTAATTGAGTGTTATCTTCAGGCTTTTTGAGCACTTCTGTGATGAGCTGAAGCATTGGGGTGATTCCTAAAAGAAATGATTATTTAAGATGTCTTTAAATGAGATTAAGACTTGTGGATATGTATGCAACTTCTATAGATTAGGAAAAGTTCAAAGAGTTGAGTGAATCGAATGATTAATTCTTTAATCCGAAAGACTTAACTTTTAAATCCTTGGATTTATATTTATATTCTTTTAAGCTAGTCTTGACCCAAAATTTACTTACCAGAGCCTCCAGCAATCATGTTGACCTTCTTTACATTTATGACATGTGGTGGATCCTTACGGAGCTTCTTAATTGCGAACTTTCCATTACCAAGATACTGCAACTTTCCAGAAGGTCCACGGAAAGCAATTGTATCGCCAATTTTCATCTCATCGAGGTACTGCGTCATTTTACCTCCTTCGGGGAACTTTGGATTCACATTACGATGATAAACTTTAACAACTAAATCAACAAATCCTTTATCATCATCACTTGAGACAGGTGTGTACGATCTGATAGTAAGTTCGTTGCCAATTGTAGCTGATAAGTGAATATGTTGACCGATTGGAAGGCCAAAAATATGATCAGGTGATGGCAAGCCAAAGCGGAATTTTCTTGTGTCATGAGAAATTTCTTCCTTTTCAATAAGTGGCAACAAATATTTCTCGTTTGGATCGACGAGGGTTTTTAAAGGTCCTGACTGCTTCTCACTAAGATACAAGGAGAATAAAATTATTTAAAAATCTACAAAATTTCAAGTTTTGTGCCAAATAAATTAATCAGTTCGTTTTCGTCCCTAAACTTTTCAACAAAAACATCTTTGACACTTGACGCTGTCAGCACTTTTGTTTCCTATATAGAATTGACGATTTATTTTACTTAACAAGTCAGCAATTAGCAACGCAAACAGAAATTATTAGCAAAATTTTAAGTTACTAGCAAGTGACGGGCTTAGGTAAGATGTGAATTATTACTTTCAAATGTGCTGCAATGTCTTACATAAACAGTAAATCGGACCAATTGAAAGAATGCGTGTTGATGACATTTCAACACCAAAAGATGCTTTCAAAATCACATGCGTTTAATATTTTTTGAGGTCAAGGTCATTTGGTTTCGTCTCTTGAGCATGTTACAGTTTGTACTAGTTTTGTGGTAGACTCAAAGATGGAAATTTGATCTTAACAATTTAGACTTACTGAAAGGAGAATTTACTAGCTATTTTATTTACACAGATCATTACTATCAGTGGATCTTCGTAACTTTATAAATTTTATTAATTGCGTCTTAAAGCTTATCAGATCAGATTCCTCCACCTTAAAGTAACATTTAACTACACATTGTGATTCAAAATAATACTTTTTTTTATAGAAATTTTTGTCCTTATTAAATTATGGTCTAGTCCGTTACATGGAATGTTCTTGCTGGAATTATCTAACTAGTTGCATGGATTTTGGTGAGATTCATGAGCTGGTAATTAAGATTTCATTTGAGGTAGATAATACTGGTGATCTTCTAGCAATACAGACAAGATGCGGAACTAAGCAAATTAAGTGGTCCTGTGGGAAGCAAATATGATGGGATTTAGATTATAGATCTGTGGGGTTTATATGCAGAGACATTGTATTGTGGTTAGTAAAGAGTTGAGACATCAGGGGCGTAGCCAGGGGGGCCATAGGGGGCCCGGGCCCCCCTACGAAAATATGATAATTGTTTTATTAAGTATTTATAAAGAAGAACCAGTTAATGTAGAGGAAGTGATGAAAGAAATGCCAAAATCAGCACGAAAAACTAAATTTAATGTATGAATAATGAATTAAATATTTAAACTTATGAAGAATGAATATAGATTTAACGATACAAAATAACGGTTTTTTAATTTTCGAAAATGGGCCCCCCCTTAAAAATTTTCTCGCTGCGCCCCTGTGAGACATTATATAGCTAAACAAGCGTGCTGGACTTAATTTCATCAAATTTGACTTTTAATGTAATTAAAAAAACCAGGGCTCGTGAGGAGTAAAAAAAATTTTGATTTTCTAAAATCAGTTATTTATGTGATTGAAAAAAATCATGATTTTTCAAATCTACGTAAATCTTTAAGGAGGATTTTATTACGTAGACAAAATCCCTGCGTAGTGATTTTGATTACGTAAAAACCGTTAGGATTTTAGTTTTTATTGAAATTTAACAAATTTAAGCATTTAAGGACAGAGAATATGCTAATATGCAGCGGAGATTGACCTTTAAAGTCGTAAAGCAAAGATAAGTATGTGTTAATAAAAATACCTATTACGGTTTATATCAAGTCAAAATTAATTTTAGAAAATAACGAAGAATTTAAGTGGCACACTTAAAAATGTCTTGTACGGAATTAGACAATAGATTGGATCGTAAGTGACTCAAAAGAACTCGTAATGCGCTGAATGATCGCTCTACAGAAGACTGGTTACTAGGAGTAGCAGCAACAGCCAAACAAGTATCAAGCTTAAGTCCTATCATTTTATATTTTAATTCATCTTTTAAAAGCAGCTTCACTTGTTTTGCCGAATCTTCAACAAAGTTTTGGATCGATTGTGGATTGACTGAAATGTGTGCAGATACCTTGTGAATTTGAATAATTCTTTTAAAAGGAGCAAATGAAAAAAGATTATATGGAACCAAATTAATTGTCACCAATTCCACACAAGACTGGATCAATTCTCCTCTTGTTAATTTCTTAATCTTCTATGGAGGTTCTTGATCTGCATTTGGACCTGTTGCTGGAGGTCTTTTTCTCGTCTTTAGATTTGATTCCTTTGCTCGTTCCGGATGTTAATTTTCTGTATGTCGCTTTAGATTAGACAAATTTTTACCAACAAATCTCGCACTGCAATAACGACAAAAAGATTTTCCATCGCTTTGTGAATAAGTAAAATGGAATCGAAAAAGTTTTTCTGCGTCCATCACGAATTTTATTTAATTTAACAATAGTTCCAAAAAAATGTAAACAATTTCAACTTCACGTCACTAAAATCCTAACGGTTTTTACGCAATCAAAATCACTACTTAGGGATTTTGTCTACGTAATAAAATCCTCCTTAAAGATTTACGTAGATTTGAAAAATCATGATTTTTTTCAATCACATAAATAACTGATTTTAGAAAATCAAAATTTTTTTTACTCCTCACGAGCCCTGAAAAAAACAAACAAATTTTTGTCTCCGGTGAATAAATTGGCTATGAAACATTCACCCCAATAAGGTAGTTCCATGAATAACTTTACTATAAAGAGTAAGAGTAATTTATGCGTAATATGCAAAATTTTAAGTTCATGGTCTTCATTGATGAATTTTGGGCGAAAAATTAGCATTTCCTGAATATCAAATAGGTTTAAATTTAAGAATTATCGCTGATCATGCATATGGAGACGTTTCATAGATTATTATGAATCAAACCAGATTGATCGTAAATGAAAGGAATTGAATGTCCATTACCCAAAACACTTGACTTAAGCCAATAACCTCATAAAATACTCTATTAGATTTTCAATTCAAAGCCCATAAAAATTAATTTCTCTCAAATGTAGTACACAAACATATAAAAGATTTAACGGTGCTTGATACATCCACAAAAAATGAGTTTAATCAGCATGTGTATCTTATTCTCACATGTGCGGAAGACCTAAGCATCATTAACATACCAAACGTGGAGTAGAGGAAAGAAATTTCCCAAAATAAATAAACTTGATTTGGTCCAGATGTGAACAACATTCAAAATTAGTCAGCTAGATTGCTGTAGACACTTGTTGTTTTCTTCTTCAGCTAGTCAATTATTGAAGAACTTTTCTTCAAAAAAAAAAAACTCATGTGACTATACTGATCAATTTTATTGGCTTGGCGCGTTATTTGCGTGATGTCAGTCTATAAATATTAAATTACCGCTTTTCAGCTTGTTGTTGTTCAGTATGTTCCTCCTCCTCCTCTTCATCCTCTCTATGTACTTGCTTTGCTTTGAATACTTTATACAGAAGAACGGTCACTAGAATTGTGATTGCGCCAGTTATGAGGGGGAAAACCTAGTGGAAGGAGAAAATGGAAAGAAAAATCATTAAAAATAATTAGTGAATGAGCAATCGGAAATATTTTTTTGATGGATGTTCGAGCATGTTTCGAATTTATGACATAACTTAGTGAAATGTTTGTTGAATCTGGATCTCTGATTAAAGCTTAGCTGTGCTTCGCGTTATAGTCAATATTGACTTTGGTGGTTCAATTAGCTTACAATATTTAAGTTACAAAAACTAATAAGAAATGGAAAGTTTTGAAGCTTTATTAACGATCTACTAAGACTTTCATTCCTGATAAACCGATAAGAGTTCATTATAAATAGGAGTAATGACAAATTTATATCAACAAACTCGTTAATTTTGTAAAATCCACATGAAACAAGTTTAGGCTTGCATTTAGCATATATCAAAATTATAAAAGTTTTTTTGGCATTTTGAATCTTCAATTTATAAACCACTGAACCGCATCAGAATATCAATAAATCTAAACTGACCCAAACAACTCTAAACCAAACCAACCCTCTTCTCTCATTTTTCAAAGCCGGTATGAATAAATGAGAATTTTGATGCACGTCGAAATGGAAATCAAAAAGTAACTGCTTCTCAAATTAAAGTATTCTTAATAAGATTTCAACTTTTCATTAACATTTAACATTTTATAAAAATCAACATTCTTAACATTCAATCTCCATAAATTGTTAAACGAGCCAGAGAGAGAAGAATTGACTTAATGTGTAAATTTATTCCAATCTTTTTAAAGACTGAGGAGGGTCTGTTTGCAGCAGAACAATGCACTACTTCTGAAGCAATAAGTTGCAAAATTAAGGAATTCAACTGCTTTTAAATTGACGTAGGAAATTCTTTATTGCGTTTAAAAAGGTAATGAATAAGCACTCATCTGTGACTAGAAATAAAATTATTTCTGGTTATTTGCTGGAGTTACAGTTGAATGAATTAATAGTGTTTAATTTTTATAGATCTATATTGTTTTTGTACAGTTATTGGAGAAATAAATGTGATGAGTTTGTAAAATAAAAGATTCACAGCTAATGACGTAGTTTGAATCTATTAATGTTTGCGTCATGTGCTTATCTTTATCTTTTAACCCCTGAACTCAGAAGACACCTCTAAAGACTATACAAACCATTATTTCAATCCCTTAAAAATCAAAAACTACTAAAATGGTTCAAAAATCTACACTTTTAAAAGCTAAACAAATCATAGCGTATCATGTAGACAGCAACATCTTATTTCAAAAGAAATGCTCCACAACTCAGCTTATGTTAGCTTCTTATGCAGACATATCCAAAAATTAACGACGGTTCGTAACTTTTGAAGGTCTTCACGTGTAGTTTTAGGTATTGCAACAACGGCAATAAAAGTTTTTCTTAATATAATTGCGCAATAACTATGTATATCTCGTGAATAGTGAAAACTTTAGTGCGAGAAGGAAAAGAAAACAAGATCCAAGTTCAAATAGCAAAAAAATGGGTATTTTGCAGCTCAAAGATTACTCTCGAAAATAAAGAAACAGTAAGACAAAAGTTGAAGAAAGAGAAATAAATGTGTTGGCCAAGTCAAATTACACAAACACAATTACATGTGCTTAGATCATTAGCTACTAAAATTTCAGCAATTTTGCGATTTTTAACGTTATGTTGCAATCACAAAATTCGAATTTAATTGTCCAAGACTCTTTCTCTGAAGATGATGAATGACTTACATCTATATCAGCCATTGTCAAGAGATGAATATTTTGCTGCAGCTATTTACTTAAATTATTCACTAGAAAATTAACAATAAAAAAAAAAAATTTGATGTGAAATCGTCGACGCTCAAAACAAAACTGAAATTGAGTTTTTTTGTGTACGAGTTGCTGCTATGTGTTCACAAAAAATGAGTTTTATTCTCTTTTTTTGTTCGTCTAGTTTTTAAAAGGTATAGGAAGGGAATGCTGCACTTTGGTCGTTTTGAGAGAAAGGGTTGTACCCTAGCGAGACTAACTAGCAAATTGCTAGTCTTTCTATTCTACTACTTGCATTTTACTAGTAATTATTAAAACAACTTACTATTAGTAAATTACACTTGCTATTTAATAGCAAATTACCATGTAAAATGTTTGATCAAATCTTCTTAAGTTCGAATCCTACGAAAAATCATCAAAAAAAGAATTTTTTGCGTCATAAAAAATTTTGTTCTAAATTTGGCATTTGCCATATACTCGACAAGAGCACGCAGAAATCACCTTTATACGCTCTATCCAAATTTGTATGTGCTTTCAATTAATTATTTATCTTCCTCAGGTTTGCGTGCGAGTCATAGGCGTTCAGCAGTGTTCGACTTAATTAAATTAAGTCTTTTATTTTTTTCATAGTGTTACTTTAATTAACTTTAATTAAGTACACACTTATACTTTTACAATAACTTACACAAATAAGAAAAATCAAAAGAACACGTGGAAATCAACGGTTATATTCATTTAAATTTTTTACAAATTTTCTAGTAAATTACTTTTTGGCGAAGATTTGAACTTGGATTTGGACTAGTAAATAGCAAGTAGCAAATGGAAAGTTATCCAGTAAATTACTAGTAAATTTCTGCTCTACGTAGATATGCATGCTAAAATTATGAAACTATCAATTTAAATGCTGATGGGTAATTCCATGAGTAATGAGAACTGTGAAAAAGCACTATACAATATTTCTCTACTTGTAAAAATTCAAATTTCCCAAAACCGTTATAATTTCTCAATGTTTTGTTGTTTATACGAGTGAATTAGCCGCAATATCATCAAAGAGAGATGGTTCAAATATATATGATCTTTAATGTTTTGAAACTTTAGTTACTTGCTCAATTAAATCAAATAAATCTAATAAACTTACAAGTAAAACCAAGAAAATCTAACGGTTTTTGTGAATTTGAATTTTTTTCAGTGTTCTATTTTGCAATAATCGGTCAAAAATTGACCGATTAATGCTAGTTTTTTTGGTTTTTTTTCTTAATTAAAGCATTAAGGAATGCAAATTATACATAAAACAAAAGCCTGGCTAATATCTAATATGTTAAAAGTAACTTTGGAACATAGAAGTGTGTATTTAAGTAAATATTAGGAAATGTTTAGAAAACGATTTTTCGAAAACTTGACCGATTAATTTTACTTTTATTAAAAAAACAAAAATTAGACATATTTCTGATGTGAAATTCGCACATATGGAGATAAATATTGTGTTAATAAACATAATAAAGTTACAATTTGGAGTACAAAGTTCTTAGTTAAGGAAATATTTTTGAAAAATTGGTGCACCAATATTTTTTTTACTAATGGAATTAACCTGATTCGAACAATTCAAGAGTTTTAACCGTTAAAGTTTCCAAGAACACTTGCAAAATGTCTTATTTGTCTGTCTGCGATGCAAAATTCGAAGTTTCTTACCCTGCAGTTCCAAATTTTCGAAAATTAGGAAAAAATAAAACTTAAATTAAGCAATTTTTTCATGAATTTTTGATGAAAATATTATTTTATCATTTGATAATAAGCATAATATAGCTAAATCTGTTTTCAAAACTATCAAAAACTTGAATAAAATAACAAAAAATTGTAGCGGTTTTTCAAATTTAAATTTTTTGAACGTGCATATTAAAACACCCCTAGACTTTCGATAAGTCTGTCGAACATGAATTGAACGTATCAGTTTAAATGCATTGCCTTTTTCGAATTAAATGTATTAATAATAGCTAATTCTATTGGTTCTTTAGGAAGTGACGCACATTCAAGTTAAATGATTAGATTTCCAACATCCTGAAATTTCTCTGCTTCTGGATTACACTTTAATACCTCTCAAATGACTCAGTTATGTCCAAAACAAGTGCGTAAATAAGTTTTTCAATCCATCTGCTTAATTTCATTCCACGAAAGCAAATATTTATCTTAATATCGACAATAAATCTCTAAATCCAATTAGTCACTCAATTTTACTCCAACCAACAAAAGCGTTTTTTAAATCTAGTCCACATATGACCTCCTTAACTTGCTATTGTTGTTGCCTTGCTCATATAAAAGTAAATTATTTCGTTATTTCTTTCTGTCTAAATTGAAACTTTTTCTCCCTTTCGAAAAGTGACAATAAATTAAATTGACGTGTATTTGATCTTCTTTTTATCCAATCGTCAAAACCATGTTGTGGTCCACTCATTATCAAATCAAGTTTTAGAAAGATATTTAAAGATTTCTTAGGTATGACGTAGACAACATAACCTCGCATATTAAAATTCACAATTATGTTCATTCTGAATCGATGACGATTGCTGTTGTTTGATAACAGATTTATGATTTTATTGATTTGTTTCGGCATAAGATAATAAAATACAATCATTTTTGTGTTACGTTTGTAAAAAATATTCATTTAATATTGCCGGGGACAGGTTTAAAGAAGAAGAAAAATCGTGTTTATGTACTTACCAACTTCGAATTCATTATCAGCGACAAAATTGATAACCTGTAAGGAGCACAATATAATTAAAAATTTACTCAGTTAAAGTCAATCACTTGGGAAAAAAATAAATTATTGCAAATTTGTAAATAAAACATTGACTAACTATTTGAACAAAAAAATAAAACTGAGAGAGTAAAACTGGTTTCATACACACCACTAAAAGAGCCTTGACTAATTGCTCAATAAAATTCACTTTGCCAAAATGTCTTAAACTCTTATTACTTCACCATTTATTGTCAATATGCTGCTTCGATGAGTTTAGAAAGTAAAATAAAGGAGCACACAAAAAAATATCGCGCGGACGGACTGGAACTAAGAAAGATAAAAAAAAAAAATCTTCTGCTTTAAAAACGTAAACAAAAAGACAGCAGAATCTAAATTTAGCACATTCGGATAAGCAGATTCTTTCCTTTATATGTCTGCAAATGACTTAGTCTACTTCCATTCATAATAATAATTTTGAAATTGCGGCACTTAAATCTGTTATCAAATGTTTATTACCAACTCATTGTCTGTATTTGTGAGAGAAATTGAGCATTTTCCGATAAGAGTTTGCTCTCTCACTCAATTTTATCTTGAGAGTCTTCGAAGAGACTTTAGTCAATGACGTGCTGTCATTTTTTCTCCGGTAAATTATTTGAATTTTTTCGACAGTTATGCTGACAACTTTTTAAAAATACCTGTTGCTATATGCTGTATGTGTACGGAAGTGGTGGAGAGAAATGATTTATAATTTGTAGATAAGAGTATGGAATTATTTATCAGATTGCGACAGTCGATTCTGTGAGCCTTATGCTTAATACTTTTTTAAATTATCAATTTGATCTGTTCGTATGGCTCGTTCCGTTTGTGATTAATAAAAGCAGATGCAAACATTAATGAGTGTTAAGAAATGCGACAGATTTAATTAAAATTGTTGGATTTAAAAATAAATCTTAAGATTAAAAACTTAAGCTTGAGATTTATTATTGCATTTATTGACGACATACTGTCCGGTAATAATTCACATTTTACACTTTTGTATTTGTATACATATGAATCAATATTATGTAGGATCAAACTTCTAATCTTTAAATCTAGGTTTCAAATAAACTAAGGCTCTCGTTTCGATCTTCTGTAGGCGTGACGTGATACTTTACAGGTCCGTTCTAACAATATTCCATTCGTGGGTGATCTTGTAGCTTTCGTTCCTATTTCTCCCGCTAGACTTCAAGTTCCTCACCCGTTCCTTAATCTAACGTTGCCCAAATGCCCAATTATGGCTTGATCTCCTACATTAAGCAGTCGAAGTATATAAACTTCCGAAAAAGAACAAATTTGGAAATGGCTGGATTCAAACCGACGGCATTCGAATTACCAGCCCAAATTTGAGCAAAGTGCCTTACCTATTCGACCAGCAAGGCACTGAACTGCTTAAAATAAATCTTGCGATTAAAAGTAAATTCTGTTAAATTTGTCCAAGATGTGTATCAAAAAAATGACCATTTGTGTCCAAAATCTAAACTCGTCGAAAGGTTTGAAAGACCATATCTCGGGAGAGAATGATCAAATTAAAATAATTTTTGCATCTCGTTTTCTCTCGGAAAAGATAGATGTAATTTAATGTATAATTTGTGTTATTAAAGTTAACCTCGAAAAGTTGATATGTAAGATCCAGACTACCGCCATTCCGAAAAAGACCGTTATTTTTTGAAAATGGACTAAAAAAAGTTGGTATGATTCAAAAAAAAAACTGAACGTTTGAATTCAAAAACAAAATTACAGTTAAAATCATGGAAAACCAAATCAGATTATTTATTTAAACTTTGATGCAAACAGCTCCTTTCGATTTAAAAAACGTTTCTGATGAGACAATTTCAATCTAAAATTTAAAAAATTCTTTAAAAAGTCTTCAAATATCAAAATGCAGTGATTAAAACTAGTTGAAATTTCTTTCACTGCTGCTTTAAAGGATGATTTAATTTGGGATGCGGAGTGGTTTCTATCAACTGAATCACATTGTCTATAGATAAATTCAATTTTGTAGCAAAATGAAAGAAATATTGGAGAAGGTTTTAAAGGCATTCGAAATAATGCTTTTCCATCCTTTCGTTTGTTTTCACAATTAAAGACTGCGCACTTGCTCATTTTTGTATTTATTAATTACTTTTTTAAGTGATTTTATTGTTTAATATGTCTCAAGGAATTTATTTGTTTACATTATGCATAACGGAAAAAAAATATATGAACTATTTCGAAAACTTCGAAATTAATTTCGAAGTAATTTCGAGGTTTTCGAAAATGGAATGGCGGTAGTCTGGTAAGACCCATTTAAAACTGGTCTAAAAAAATTGGAAGTGCCATATCTCAAAATCTAAAAGTTTGATTGCAATAATTTTTTGCTCTCCATTTCTCTCGGAAAAAGTAGATATGTTTTAATATATATTTTATAAAATTTGGATGATTTTTGAAAAAGTCCTGTCAGCAGTACAAATGGATATTAGACGAATTTGGGCATCTCCAGATCTCTGAAACTAAGAGGTCTCGAAAAATTCTAACTTCATCTCGGTTTCTCTCGGAAAACTGGGAAAGTTTCAGATGTCCATTCGACATTATCCATTTGTACTTCTCTCACACCAATTTCACTACTACATTACTGTATATTCACTGGATCTTTTTGTATAATTCCAACTGGATCTTTTTAAACAAAGCAATTCACATTTAATTCATCAATTAACGTACAACTCATATAAAGTTCTTAATAATCATGTTAGTAGAGCTATTAGAAAGTAGTTAAAAGCTGTAATAAACTAGAAAAATCAATTCAAGTTTGATTTTCGATGCACATTTAATTGCTGTCCAGAAAAATTGAATTAAATCGACCTATTTTATAGAACTAATCATTCTGCTTTGTTTTAAACGGCTGAAAAGCTCATAAATCAGTCGAGAATGTGAAGAAATTAATTAAATTACAGCTCACTGGTTCTTTTTGTTTGAATAAAAAGAAATCACAAATTTTGCAATAATTTTCTTAGGAAATTCATTTTTCAAGAGTAACTTACATATAGGATGAACTTTCAATGATGTTTTATTCACTTTAAAGCTTAATTAAACTAATTTTTCAATAACTTTTGTGAAACCACACAACAGTGTTAAAAAACCGCACAATAGTTCAAAAACAGTACAACAGAATTCAAATAGTTTTTGACAGTTATTTTTCAAATTTTTTCTGATCGTTTTTTTTTTGCTTTATTAATAATATAATTGAAATCCTGTAAAGCAATTACATTATTCAGTCCATTACCTCCAAATTGAAATAGCCGTGATATATCACTTAATTATTTTTAAATACAATTTTATTATTACTTCAAAAATTCTGTTACACTTATAAAATATAAATTAATTTATTTAAATTAAATTTAGTCAATATTAATAGAAAGTCTTACAATCTACATCCTTAACAATCTTAAGACCACATTTTAGGTGCAAAAATTCAAAATTTATAGAACTTCACGTCTCAAATATTTTGGGTCTTTCACAACATCCTCGTATTTTGGTGGCAGGTCTAAGTGAGCAGGTGGTGGGCTGTTTGCATCTGGTCTGTCAATCGCATAAATGTAAAACTGCTGTGATCCTACAAATAAAGTCGAAAAAGACAACACAAAAATGTTATGTAGACCAAACGAGTTTATTGAACTTTAAATTTTTATGGAGAATATTTTTAAGTATTCAGATTGAGTGTTGGATTTTGTGGACATAAAAAAAGTTAAAATGCCTTTTTTGGGAGTTGAAGAATAATCTACAACATTCTTAAAATGTGCTCAAATCCAACAGCTCAAAATTTTTGGAACCTCCATAAACTTACTTATGCCATCGCCATTTGACGTAACGGTGGTGGAGTTCGATCGACTTGTTGATGCTTTTGTTTTATAAAACATTTTGTGCTAAAATTGAAAAAAAAAGAAAATTAAAATCAAAGTTAAAAAACACTTTTTTTTTGCTTTTCGACAACCCAAATTTTTTTGTGAGCTTTAATCGCTTTGTTTGTTTTATATTTGTGCTTAATTAATTTATTCGACTCAATATTATTTTAATGCTTAATTTATTTTATGTCATCTGTTTTTTTTTTTGTGAATGAAATCCAATTCATTATTCGAATTAAGGGGTCATTCACTTATGACGTCCATAAAAATAACACGTTTTTTAGACCCCATCCCCCCTTATGTCATAAGTAAATGACCCCTAAAGCAAAATCTCAAGTTTTTTGAACCCCCTTCCCTCATAAAAATTTCTTTACAGGTTTCATTAGAATTTGGAAAAAGCACAGATGAGAACTGTTCAATTCCTTGATAATTTGTGAGGTTTTATTAGAATTTGGAAAAAACACAGGTGGGAACCGTTCAATTCCTTGATAATTTGTGAGGTTTTATTAGAATTTCGAAAAAAACACAGGTAAGAACCGTTCGATTCCTTGATAATTTGTGAGGTTTTATTAGAATTTGGAAAAAAACACAGGTGAGAACCGTTCAATTCCTTGATAATTTGTGAGGTTTTACTAGAATTTGTAGAAAAACCTTATAAATTCTCAAGAAATTGTACGGTTCTCAGCTGTCACAGGTGCCTGTATCACAACCCTGCTTGAGAAATAAAATAAACTTATTTTAATTTTACATAAATTAATGAGCTCTTTCCAACAGCCAAGAGAAATCAAACTTTCAATTTTTTATGCAAAACTTCCTCAATTTTATCAGTAAATAGTTTTAATCAATTATAGGATACGATGGACATGAAAGTAAGTTAATATCTCAGTAAAAAGTATAATGACATTAATGCAGGCGTGAAAGTGCAAACGGCTACAGATGATAAGCATGATATGCAGCACTTAAAACTTACATAAAAATAAAAAGTACTTTGGAATTATTTTCAGTGAGTTTTTAATCTGTTTTAAGGGAGTGGAAGTTTTTGGTGAAAGGCTATGCAAAATTGATCAGTCTGGGTCCTTACAATGGATTTTTCTCACGAACAATGCAAAGGAAATCTGTATTAAATCGCGATCTGAGTGTGGCTTCCAAATGGCTGCATTGTGACTATCGAATTTGTCACGAAAACCCCAGTGCCGTCAACCAATCCAGTCTAAAAACTCCTCAATACAAATGCACAATTTCAAGGCTAAAAACCTCACGAAAAAGCTTTAAATCGGAAAAAATAAAGTCTTAGTCATACACGTGTGTCCTATATTCTACCTGATAGTTGATAACCATGAAAAAATGGTCAATAACCTTTTACAAATATTCAAATGATGAAAATTTTCTGTAAAGTCTCGAAATCTTGCAATTAAATGCAAATCAAATTTGTTTTGTGCCTTAAACAAACTATTTACTTTCTTCTTTTACTATCAATTTAAAAATGATAATTAGATCTGCGCATTAGCTAATGCTTTAATTTTGCGGTTCATAAAGCGATGAAATGGTTTGATTTTGAGTTAAAAGCTTTGGCAATGACATCAATGACATAAGAGCATTAAGATGCATTCACTTTGATAAATATTTGAGGATGTGCTGCTGATTTTTTGGTAAAAGCTTTGAAGTTTTTTTTAAAAAATTAAATCTTGCATAACTGACGGGAATTTGTGTCTTTAACTTTACTAAATCGATGCTCAACAGATTTAGATTCTTTTGAATATTAATTTTGGAATAGAAAAGCTTTTTTTTACATCTGAATCGGTATAGTTGATCTAAACCTTTGTTTTAGTCAAATTCAGACTTGACAATCCAAAAGTATTGAATATAAATGAATATAATTTGAAATGCACGATGAATTCAGTCACATGTATCTATTTCTATTACTCAATTGAAGTTCATGTTAAAATCGATTATTCTAACCCACATTCAGTTCTATATATAGAAATTCAGAACCAGAAAAGTACGGAAACTCTCTCAAAACGTTTCCATCCGTGAAAAGCAATGAGAAATAAACAGTTAAATAATAAATAAAAACTATAAACAGAATCATTGAAAAAAAGATATACAACATCACCCGGTAAACAATTGACATTGACATTTCAGCCTTGTATATTATTACGATCAACACAACTGAATATTCAACAAGTTTCTGTTGACATTCTATATGTCGACAATTCATTTACATTTTTTTTCGCAGCATAAAAGTTACATTAGAGCAATAAAGTTTAATTGCCAAATGTAATCATGAGATAAGAGAGGAGGGAGACTGATAACATGACAAGTGATACACAAGCAAAAAGATAAAAGTGGAATAGAAAGTGCGCAAAAAATCTTTAAGGTGATATTTTGACAATAAGTTGAAATCAGGGTTGCGATACAGGAACCTGTGCACAGGTGAGAACCATACAATTCCTTGATAATTTATAAGGTTTTTCTGATAAAAACCATGCAAATTCTAATAAAACCTTACAAATTATCAAGGAATTGTACGGTTCTCACCTGTGCACAGATGCTTTTATCGCAACCCTGGTTGAAATTTAAAGAGTAAATTGCGTAAATTGGAAAAAAAGTCGAAAAAATTCGAGAAAGCCGGAAAGAAAATTCATAATAAAATCAGAGTAAATCAGATCGATCAAGGTTTTTCAAAAATTAGATTTTGCGCCAAAAACCCATTGCACGTCGCTAGTCTCCCCACTCTCAAAACCCCCATAAAACAATATCCATACCAAGATATAAACAACGAGTGTGATGAAACAGGCAATCCACAGCAAGTATAAATAAATAATCATCTAAGCACCAAGTTGTTCTTAACCTTCGATTCCAATCAATTATTAATCTTTTTCAAATAGTTTAGACCTTCACGACACTTCCACTTGAACAATTGAGGAAGATGATAAAAAAAACAGATTTTTAATTTAATTCAAACCAATTAACCGAGAGTCTTGAACGGAATGCACGTAATGTGGTGTACATCGCACGCTTTTTCCTTCCTTATCGCACCTACAAACTATCCGAAAACAATTTATTCGTCTATTTTTCAGTCATTTTTTATCCCCAGTTGTGTTGGTGCTTACTTATTTCTTCGGAATGATAAAATAACTCTTATCAATGACTCTACCTTTGTGTGCGTGATAATTGGCAAGTATTAAAGGTATCCGTAGACTTGAGAAATACTTCCTTGTACAATTACTTGCAGATAATGTCACATGGCTAGTCTAGCATATTGACAATTACAATCTATTCAAGGTGGAAGATGTTTGTGCTTGCAAATTGACTGAATCGAGGCTTTCGATAAATTTATTTGATCAATACAAGGAAATATTATTTTCATGATTAAACTATTTTTTTATCAAGGAATTGTTGATAAACATCGGAGGTCATTGACTTTAAGTTTATTCATTGATGTGGGCGATTCTCCAGAAGAATGGAATTTTTCAAAAGTGAATTGTAATTCTTCTTTTACTTGACACTTCAAATTTGAGAAAACCGTTAAAAAATATTTATTTCAAACGATTTTTTTCGGTTCTATGGTTAATTGTAGGTTAAAAATTTATTTTATATACATTTTAATGATTATTATAAGATAAAGTTTAGATCATTAACATTTTTGTGCCAAATAAACTACTGAAAGTTTTAAGATCTAACGGTTTTTTAAATTTTAAATTTTTCGTTGAGCAGATTTTCCCCTGTAAAGCGTTTGCGTTGCTCGGCAACATTAAATTTTGTCCGGAGAATCGATTTTTCTCTTAATTAACGCATTAAATCAAAGATGTGTCATTTAAATATGATAAAAGTAAAGATTTTCTACCATTTAGTATGTATTAAGTGTAATAAAAATATTTCTTTGATAGTAATTTTTTGATTCTTCGTAATTAAATTCCATTTTTGGTTGCCGAGCAACGCTTAAAAAAATTGAAAAAACTAATGATTTAAGCTAGTTAATGATTTCTAAATGACTTTAAGAGATAGAATTTGGAAAAATACATCTGTTTTAATTAAGAACAAACATGCTTTAGTGGGAAAATTTAAAGAAAAATCAATTTGAAAGTGATTTTTGGCTGATTTCCCCGCTGGAGAATCACCCTGTTTAAGTTGAACGCTAGAGTCCTTAATATCCCGAATTTCCAGAGGGTCTCGAAGGATAGAGCTGTCTTTAGACGATCTCTGAACGCAGCAATGGGCCCACGTGCACCCCAGCCAAGGGTCCGAATCTGACGACAAAACCCTTTAGAGTTTTCAACCAATCGACACTTGTTCAAGTTAATTTAATCACGAGACTTCAAATTAACCAACACAAAAATAAATAAATCCACAAAACAAAGCCTTATCACAGTACAATAATAAATATTAGCAATTTATTACTAAGATCTTTAAACAAAGCAAAATTTGAAGAATACGCAAATCATATTTCGGTAGATTGAGGGCACTGATTGTTTATTTTAATTGCAGTTCGTTGGCACTATACAGAGTCTCTTTTTTCGTATGTTTATTCGCAACATCAAAATTTTGCCAAGCGAGCAACAGAATTGAAAATTTTAATTATTATAAATTTACTCGCAATGAGAATGTGAGATGACTAATTTTAATATTTTATGTAAAAACAAGTGAAATATGATTATTTTAGGATTTTTGTAAGGATAGCGCGGTTATCTCTAAATTTTCATTGATAGGGTTCGAGTTGACTCTAGTCTTGACTCAAAACCGGGTCGACTCAACTTTTCTCGAGTGAAGTTCATTTTTTTCGAATCATTTCGAGTTGACTTCGAGCTCTGGACAATGTCATCCACGTGGAAAATTTACAAATTTCGAGTAGACGCAAAATATTCCCACATTCCTAGATACCAAAAATCATTCTTCCACATTCATCTGCGTCATGATGATAATCATATTACTATATCATATTACATCAACAGTTAGTTCAACACCAACAATTTTTAACCCACAAATGTTTCAAAATCTTGAATAAGCAAAAAATACAAAAA